GTTCCGTTAATCTAGTGGAGAGAATGTGTTGAAAGGAAGATCCCTACTCAACAACATAAACATTAAATACCACCGTCACGTCACACTGGCGAGCTCGCCGGGCATGGACTTGGTTAATTACTCCTAGACTAATGAAAGTAAATTTTTAAAATTTAACTTTAACTCTTCTGCCAGTATATTCTAAATTCAAATTAGTAATTTATACATGGGGAGAGATTACAGAGTAATAAATAACTTTTTACTAAAATCAATAAATGGATAGTATCATGTCTTATCATTGATCACTTCATAACCATTGATTATTGTTTATTTAGTAAATTTTAATGTAGATGGTTATTATATTTGCTTGCATGTTCCATCATTTGATATAGATTGTAGAGCATTATATGTTGACATCATATCATTGATAGTATGCTTAGTGACTGAATGTAAAATCACATCATATCATTACCGGCGTATCCTCTGTGCTGCTATACTATTCTATCAGCTGTCAGTCTGGTAGGCTACTTTGATTTATTTACATCTTTGTGCGGCTGTCATAGGCTACTCTCTTGCCCAGTTTACCTTGCTCTGATATATTCTTTTATTCAGGAATCGGGGTAGTATTTTATTTATCTCTAGATAGATCTAATAGATAGAATGGACTTACGCACCGAGTTCCTAAAAGATGTAAGGAAGATCGGGATAGCTGAGGGTAGAGTGGGAGCACAGTTAGAATCATATGTTAAAGGCCATATGGATACTTTCGATTACATGAGTGCCCGTAATGCTGCAGAGAAGAAGCGCCAGTTGGAGAAAGAAGAATATGACTCGATGCTTGCTCGTCATGCAGCAGAGAGGCTAGAAGAAGAGAGAATGCGGCAAATTGAAGAAGAAGAATATGCTAGACAGTTGCGACTCGAAGAGGAGGCAGCTGTTGAAAGAACGAGGCGTTTTCAAGAAAAGCTGCGTAACTATAAACCACATAGGCAGACGAATAGAGAACTGCAGTTAGATACAGGGAACGGTGAGAACACTATTAGGGTAGTTGAGGGAACTGACAACTCCCATACTGACACTCTGGTAGAAAGGTCTGGGACTCACTCTCTCAATGGAGAGGTGTGTACTATTCTGCCAAACGGTACATTATCAATGGATGAAGTAATAGACCACCCACGACCTTGCCCCACCCCTCTTATTCCTAATAGGGACAGAGCTGACATTAAGAAGAATTTTTCTGTAGGGATGACCGGATCTACATTGCTGGCCCCATTTACTTCCATTCTTAAGCCTAAAAGGAAAAGATGGAATAAGAAGCAGAAATCTTCTAAAGGGACCGGATCTACATTGCTGGAACCCCTTACTCCCATTATCTCAGATGAGATATATGAGAGCACACCCCGCAGTAATCACAAGCGTGATAACTGTACTAACCGTCGACACAGTGGTTCGACTGGCACATCAGCCATTAATGAGGACGAGGGCAAAGCCTTTCCCAACTCCCATATATCCTTTGGTCCCTTCCAACAAGAAGAGGAAGTAAAGCAGACTAATGTAGGGAGTAACACTAAACCTGTTTCCCCTATTTCCCTTGATGCGATTGCATACAAAATAGAAATAGTTAGTTCTGACTTTTCGCCCAAAGTAGTTGACTGCGACGGTAGCGACAAATCCCCTTATTTGCCTTCTCTGGACTTGGCATGTGAAAGCCAGACCAGGACGGATATAACAGATAAGGAGGATAGTTCTCTTAAGTTCTTGACGACCTTAGAGACAGTGAGTAAACAGGACATTGCTGCAAGTCCTGTGCACTCTGATACTGGACAGACAGAAATGTTTGCCAGTGATGAAGAAGAAGGTACTTCTTGTGTGCAGGGAGACAAATTGTCTCTATCCTGTACAGCTGGGGCGACAGGGATACTTCGGATGAAGGACCCTGAAGCGGAACAAGCCATAAATAGTAGGGAACCCCAACATTCTGGTCTTGTATTACTCTTCGCTTCGAAGGAAGTGACAGGGGTATCTCAGCTGATAGTGGAAACTTCATTGCGAAGAAATGCCACTTTACTGTCTGCAGGAAACCCTGAGTTTCCTCATGATTTGACTGTACCCCATGACTTGATTTCGTGCTCTGATTCTGGACTGATCTTAATGAAAGAGAATTCCACCCGGACAATTTGTAAAAGGGAAAGGATGCACCGAGGAGGAAACCAGTGGACACTCCTTCAAGAAATCGGCAGTGGTCAGTTGCACTCACAGCATGCTGTCATGATGAGTGACTATATCCCTCAATTTGAGAGGAGATTAGTGACAGTTTTTTTCAGGATCTGTAGATGTAGGAAAAGAAAATCCTACCTGACTACAACTCATCCTTTTCGGAGAGCACTTCAGGCCCTCCCTATGCTCATAGGGCGTGGCGAAGCGAGGAAATTGACAGGGACTGTCAGTCAACGATGTCGAGGAATCCCATTGTTGAAACGGAGATTATTTCTTATCCTGCGGGAGAAGAAACCTCCAGATAAATGGATATTACGGAGCGGCTGCTCGGAATACCCACATGATTCTAGTACTAAGGACTTAGCCTGGAATGAGGGACAATTGGTGACTGTATATCGATGCAGGACATCACGATTCCACAAGGAATACTGGAACAATACTGGAGATGACAGGTTGTACTAACATTCTTGGGAATCACTGAGTATCGTAAAATTGGTCTTAGTGTAAGTCAAGATACTACACGTATGTGTTTTGTTTCCATGATTACAGCGCCCATGTGACGATCAGTCCATGAAGTAGCCTACATTGTGTTAGACTCGGCCAGCTGGGAACGAGGTGGAGAACGATGTGGAGAACGAGGAGGGGATGAAGTGGAGAATAAGCTGAAACAGGCAGAAAACAGGCAAGGAAGAGTTGGACAAGCTTGACAGTTCCTCACGGCTGTCAGAGGCTTATAAGATAAGTTAACATCATTTCCGTTAACAAACCACCATCATCATACCACTCTGAAACCCCGAGCTGTTTGTCTCGCTGACGCTTATAACCTCTTTACGTTAACCAGTCACTGTTTGTGTAAATCAACAAACTGGGAATTTCATTGTAGTAAATAAAGCTGTATGTCAAGTTTTAAACTACATAGTTTGTTAAATTCCAAATGTCTGTTCTTACATGTTTAAGTAAACTGTTAAGATAGAATACCATTTGGTGGGGGCTCAAATAATATAATAATTCTTTAATTATTAATAATAACACCGGGAGAAGGTAGATGACGGAGGAATCACTTGCCCTGTCTAATAATTCATTAACATTAAGTATGATAGACATCTAAAATTCCTTGCCTTCTCTTGTGGGTACCAAGTTCAGCTAATGTTAATATACTTAACGAGCCAATATGGCTGTTTTCTTGGATATCCAGGACTTTGTCTGAGAGCAACATAGCTCAGATTATAGTTCCGTTAATCTAGTGGAGAGAATGTGTTGAAAGGAAGATCCCTACTCAACAACATAAACATTAAATACCACCGTCACGTCACAGAGGGTTAGGGAGGCAGTGGGTCTATTCTTTGTCCTCTCCAAAATGGAGCCCCGCAACTCATTCACGGAAAATGAATAAATAAATCAAAAAAGAATAAACAACATAACACTCGGGATGTTCTTATGTTTGCCACTCTTGTCTCTGGTAGCTAAAGAATCCTCATACTGATGATGACTGTGGCAACTTCATGAAAAGTCCACCAATCTTTTTTACCCTGCACATTACGTGTCTTTTAGTCACTACAGACTGAACCAGTCTCAATATGTACAGATCTTTTGCCTGGGTGAAAGTTGGTAAATCTGAGTCACTGTTTGATTATGTTTCTCCATATGTGCAAATAAAATTTATTTAAACATATGGCATTGTGTTTCCTTGTTCTGATCTGATATGGAAGGGCAGTTGTGGGAAAGAAAAAGACACTGACAGATACAACCAAAAGTTTCCATAAAAAATCGTTAACATAACCCTTTACCCATTAGGATCGTAGAGGTGTAACGATGGAAGAACTAGCCCACAAAACCCGCCATCTTTCTCTGTCTTCTGCTTGATGAATAAGTGTATGATAACTTAGTCCTGTCCATTTCTTGATGTAGTCATTTTAGACTTTTCTTTGTCCTCTCCTTCGACTACCCCCCAATGTTCCTTGAAACACAGTCTTTGCAATCAAATCATGTCTCACCACGTGCCCAAACCAAGCTATCTTACAATGTTTCACCATTACCAAGAGTCTTCTGATGTCCAGCAAATTTGTATATTTTGTTTCTGACTTTTGTGTTAGTTTTGTGTTCTAAAAATATATTTGTAAAATTCTTCTATAGCATTTACATTCGAAAGCCTGAATTCTCTTTCCCATTTCCACAGTCAGAGTCCCACTCTCACATCTGTAAAAACAGACAATACTAAATAAAATCTTTATCAACAAATAAAACAACAAAACTGTACACCATAAAGCGATTGACAACTGCAGCTGGCAGAATGGATTCCTACACAACACTTCTTAAGTCAGAGAACGATAGGATGAAATGCTGTACCTCCAAGTGACTCCTTCTACCCACCATTTTGTTAACAGTGTAGGAGCACAAACAGATAATCACAGTGCGAAGAGAATAGCACTGTAAATTATAGAACACATGGGAAACACATTGACATGGGAAATTTAAGGTCACATGCAAAAATTAATGTTGATTCGTACAGTTCCTGAGATATCTGTTAAAGTGCAAGGCCACAAATTTTGAAACGCACTATAGTCGCCTTTTACTACATGCTTTATTAGGGTGGTTGGGCAGTGTGTATATTCTCATTTTAGCATAAAATGTGGCCCTAGAACCCACAGGGGGAGACAGTGGATCTAATCAACATGTGACACTCAAAAGTGTGGCAAAATAGACACAATCAAACAGCCTTTGGTACTGTCAAAATTTGGAATTCTGCTCTGCTGCTAAAGATGTGGGAATGTCCCGAGTGCTGTTATGTCAGTTGTTCCAGTGAACTACACAGGCCTGCACTCTAAATCCAACACAACATGAACGATATGAGGTGCGTATGATTTCACAATTTCTAAATGTAACTTGGTAACAGCCCAGGAACCTCCTTTCTTTGTCTCCAAAAGAGATTTGATTTGTCTCTGTACATATTGTGACCACTGCTCACAAGCCAAAAGTACATTTGTTTCATTTCTGTTTTGGTTTATTTGATCTAATTCCTTATCTGTATAATCTGTGCACGTGTGTTGCACTGACTGGCAAGTATCTTTTGAGTTCATATCATGTTCTTTTCTACTGTCTTCTAAATTAACATTCTTCCGACTGTCAACTGCTACCATTGTAAACTCACAGTCAAAATTTGACGTGATAGACTGAGAAGACGTCTGTCGCCATCTCTGGTCCATATCCAGAGAGTTCTCACAAGGCAGATACAATGTGTGCTCTTCAGGCTGCGAGCTGACATCACCCTCACCACACAGAAATGAACCAGAAAGATATGAGATGCCCGAATTTGTTTTCAAGTCCTTACAGCTTTCCAAAGAATTATTTCTATTCTCCTGCGCATTATTTCTAATTTTCTGATCAAGTTCTGCTGTATTCATTGCTGTCCCTTCCTGATAAAAGCAAGAAAGATTCCTAATGTTATCGTCTGTTATAAGCACATTCTCCTTTGCCCTCTGACGGGAAGCATCTAGCTTGCAACATCTATTCTCTGACACATCAATCTGCTGGAATTTATCACCAATAAAATCTGAAGTCTTGCCGTCCATTGCTTTTCTGTCACTGAAGGCTGTAACATTTCCATGAATGTGTAATATTCCTCCACTTAATTTTAGCACTCGGACAGCCACAGGCCATCCTTCCTCTGAGCTTGGAATCAGGCCAAGGTTAACTCTGTCAGCCACTGGTGGGAGCTGAAGCTGGGGAATATACAGACAGTAATAGATGACCTTAAGTAATAAAAGATGACCTTAAGTAATAAAAGATGATACCAGAAGGGAAACAGGAATCAAAACAAGAATAGTAATAACTAAAACTATCTTCACTAAGATGCAAAAATTACTGATAGCTAGAGAGACAAACCAGGCGGTAAAAATGAAAATCATCAAATGCTGTGTATACCCAACCCTGTTGTATGGTGCAGAAAACTGGACAATAAACAAGCAAAGAAAAAATTACCTTCTCTGGAAATGGGGATACATAGAAGAACAGATAGCATTTCACGGAAACAAAAACAATCAAATACAGAGGTTCTAGAGAAACTGCAATAAAAAGAGAGCTACTGAAAAAAAAAAGAGAAAAGACTACTGAAACTCTCGAATGCCAGGTTTCATTTCTGCGATGGACAGTTACTTTTGTTTAAATACTCACTCGTGGTTTTTAGACATTACTACGAGAGTCACACTGGGGAACAGATTATGGCCTTGGCGCATAATATCCCCAAAGACAGCAATGGGTATACTGTGGAGCCGGCAGCAGAATGGTTTTTCTTAAGTTGACACTGAGATGACAGACAAAAATCAAGTGACTGTGGACACATGCACATAGACTCAAACCCCTTCCCTTCCCCCAAATGTATATACTTTTACAGATGTCATACCAATGATGTGCTACCAGTGCCAAAGACTAACCTACGTAAAATTGCCACCTGTGAAATGAGATGCCTGAGAAAAGCCGCCAACTTAACCATATGAGACAAAGTTAGAAATGATATTATCAGACAGACTGTAGGAACAACATAAGCAGCAAATTCACCGAGAAACAGAAAATCAAATGGTTTGGTCACTTAGTAGGAATGCAGCAATAACAACAACCAAAGCAGGCGCTACACATGAAAGGATCTGAAGTGAAAGCAAAAGGCTTTCCTAGGAGAAGATGGATTTATGGAATTAAAGAGCTTCTACATCGACATGGATTTATGGACCATCAAGAGACTTCCCCATCGACCCCCCATGGCAAAATACAGTAGCCATGACTTTCTATCCCACCAGGACATCACACAAGCGATAAACACCCGATGACACAAAGTGCCACCATGTGGATGAGGATCACCGCAAGGATCGCAAACTGTCCTCCCTGCCCCCCCACAACGCTTTAAGGCAGAAATAGAAACTGATGATAATGATGATCTATGAGCAATTATCCTCCTGCTTCTTCTACATTTGCCTTGAAAACAGCAGTCTGCAAACTGTGTCAGGTTTACAATTATATTCGCACATTTCTGCCCAACACATTCGATTTCAGTAAATACGTATTTAGTTGTCTTTTACAAAATGCTCATTAGGGACAATGGGTCTATTCTATAGCAAACCCCCTCCCCCCAGGAGGCCACAGAACCCACATGCGGAGAACTTTTTCCAAAACTAGGTCAAATTATGGCATCAATATTCAGGATGGTGTTCTCACAAAAGATGTTGTTCACATCTGTATATAAATAAATAGACTCTTCACGCCATTTGTTCATCAAGCTTATGGTGCCGGGCCCACATTTTTAAGACTGACTGGTTTTTAATGGATCAACCACATGCCAGCTGCCTTTACTTCCCATGACATTTCCTTTTACCCAATTAGGCTGAGTCAAACCTATCCCCAATGAGCTGGCAGATAAATGCACTAGCTACTGCTGCTCTCAGTTTTAACCTCAATTATCACTAGACTCATTTCTGAAGCACTCACCATTCTGTTGTCCCCCTCATGTATGGTACATCTCTCAGCAACTCCGTTGATGAGCAAGTTACGTTTCAGGGCAATGACAGCATCGGGATTCCACTCACATGCATGGACATGGCCGGCCTTGGCATGGGCAAGGTATGGCAACGTAAAATAGCCAATACCTATGTGGATGTTGTAAATAAAAATACATTAGGTGACTTCTGCCTTTCTAGCCCCCAATGGAGCATACGTCCTCAACCAACTCACGCCAAGTCCTTCTATCCTTTGCTATCGCAAGCAGTTCTCCCCATTTTTCTAACTTCAATCTCCAGCTCCCTTCTCCATGTATTTTTTGGCCTTCCTTTATTTCTCTGCCCCTGTGGGTTACCATGCAAAGACATTCTAGTTATAATGTTCTCTAGTTTTCTCAATGTGTGTCCTTTTCAATGCCAGCGTCTTTTCTTCCCCTCTTGGTCCACTGGAGCTTGCTTAGTTCTCCCGCAAAGCTCTACATGAGTGATTCTATAACAAATGGTTAAGTGCCGAAATTTTGGACAATTTTGTTGCAATTAAAAACTGGTGGAAACAGTGAATTCCTGCGAAGATCAAAAACTGAGAAAATCTAAACAAATTATTTACTTGTGACAATTTTAGTGGCAGAGAAATTATCACACATTTATAACCAGAAGAAATTCACTTCCTGTGAGGATGAATATATCAAACATTGGTAAAACCTAAACAAATGATTAAACTTGTGACAATTTTGACCCATTCATTACCAGTGGAAATTCAATTCCTATGAGGATGAATATATCAAACATTGTCAAACATTGAGAAAATATAAGCTAATCATTAAACTGTGACAATTTTGACCCATTCATAACTGGTGGACTCTCATGCCAAACGAGCTATAACTGGCACTTGGTTCTGTCCCAAGAAGTAAGTGTGGCCGGTGTGATAATGACCAAATCACCCACAGAAAGCTGAATGGTCTGAATAAAGAAAATACAACTCTAAAACCATATGCCTGATTGGCCAATGGGGTAAAAATGGTTATTTACTTTTCTTTGCTTTGCTTTCTGCTGGACTGAGAATCAGCTGTACACACATGCTGTAATTGTACCTGACTCACAAAGTATGTTGAGAAAGGTGGAGACAGGCAGACTCTTGCCAGAGTGGCAAGCATCACTTCAGAAGTCCGGGGTAGTTAGCGTCCTTTTCTCCAGGTCATAACAGTGTAGTGGGAAATGAGAAGGCAGATAGATTAGCCAGTTTGGCATCACTTGATGGTGAATTGATGTTTGCAAGCTAGATGTTGGGAAGGCCCTTTAGAAGCATGTCAACAGTGCAGAGACACAAATAGATCATTACGGTCTGAGGAGAATAGCAAGGAGGAGTGGGGGTGTTACCAGGGGATCTGCCTGAGCCTCAACACTTAAGGCAAAGGCAAGACGGGTGTACAATCAGACAGTTACTGATACTATCGGAATTACAAATCTTCGCTTGCTGTTGAAGATGCTGACAGAGCACTTATGGGAGTGTCCCAAGTACCGTGTTGTCGATTCTTAATTCAAAATACTTTTCTTCACTAATAATTGGCGGAAATCCTATTGTCCAATACAGATGTGCAAATGTTATGGTTACTGTCATTCCATGTCAACATTGAATGTCTTCTCCTTGGGTGCTCTCTCGTTTTCATATCATACCCTTCATAGTTATGGTACTTGCTGGTAGCTGACGTGGTTGCCTTCTAACGAAATGACCGAACATACCGATTTTCTGCTTCTTAAAGAATCTGGTGCAAGGTGCTGTTAATGAATGTCATCTTTCATAATAATTTTTAGTGCCAGACAGCCTAGCATACGACATCACAACAACTAGCATGAAAATGGAGGTGGAGGCGGTTACTACAGCTTCCTGTTGGCTACAGAATGAGATGCATAAACATGTTGTAATTGTAAAAGACTCTGAAAGCATGGAGAAAATAGTTGAAGACACGGATGCTTCAAGCAGAGTGGCAAGCTTTACTGGGAAGGTCACGGGTAGTGAGCATACTTTGGATCTTTTCTCTAGGCCATACCGGCGTGGTGGGTAATGAACAGGCAGACAGACTGGCTGAATCTGCACCATTGGGTGGTGAACTGATACATGACAAGGCAGATGTGGTCAAGGCTCTTTAGGAACAAGCAACGGAATCAGTAGAGAAAGAAGATTATTATAGCTTTGAGAGAATGAGGCACCTGGGTGTAACCAGAGGGTCTGGCTGGCTCACTACACTCAGAGGAAAGGCAAGACAGACATAACCAGACTGTGGCCGGTACCATCAGTATTGGAACTCTGCGCTGGCTACATGGGAATGCGCTGAGTGCTGTGATGTCAATTCTTGAATCAACTCAACTCAAACTCACAATAGACGTCAGCCTTCACCGTGAATATCAGCCTTTACAATGAACATCATCCCTTACTAACAAACAAATGTTTTTATTTTCTTACCCACATATAGATCCACCACTGTTTCATTTGAGCAGTCAAGGCTGGCGACCCGGAGCTTTTCGGTGATGTTGCCAGGACTAAACATGCACTTGGTCACGTCATAGGTATACCTAACAGGCAAATAAACATCAAACATGTTGCGTACAACTTGATAAAAGAAGATTCACAGCAGATGTTACTCTAAGATCAAGGCAGCCATTATAACCCACAGGAACACTTCCCATCAAGGACACAATCCTGAAGACCCAATAAATGTCCTCACACGGAAGAAGCGAAGACCATTATAACCCTGCCGCCAAATGTATAAGAAATTCAAGATTGTGGATTCAGAACTTTGTCTATGTGGACAGGTACCACAGAATACCGAACATCGGCTACAGACATGCTCTCTAGATGTGGTAGGAAATCCCAGGTCTGACCAATTAACATCCCAATTCTTCTTCTTCTGCTTCTTTGTTCACCGGCTGTAAACTCCGGCAGAAAGTCCTGGACTGCGGCTTTGTGCCATGGCCCAAGTTCTGCGTATACATCCGTTTTACTGTCTTATTAGTGTACAGTTGGTGTTCCTTGCCAATATTTCATGAAACTGAACTGACGCATGGTAAAATCAGCGTATTAGTGAACAATTATGCGGAAGCTGCAGAGATGTGGTTTTGTAGAAGAATGACAAAAACATATCTGTTGCACTGTTAGATTTCACAATGGATATTAAGGTCAAAATTATGATGGCGTGCATTTCCCTGTAGCAACATACAGACGATCTTGCAGTCTTGAAGGAAGAGATTATGGGCTTTTCAGCTGAAATGCTACAGAAAGATTCTCAGAATACCATGGACCAAGAGGAAGAAGAAAAAACACTGACACCCTAAACAATATGAACATCAAGGAAGATTGACTAGTAAACAGCATCTTGTCTTGGAAACTCAAATATTGTGGCCTTATCAGGTGCCAAGATGAATTGGAAAGAACAGCAGCAGAAGACATGGTAACAGGAAGGAGGGGGCAGAGGCCGACCAGCAAGAGCAAGAGTACAGGATATAAATGACACCTTGGGTAGAAGAGTTCACGAGGCAGGGGATCTGGCAAGAGTACGAGTTTCTTTCAGCCAGACTGTGATGGCTACGACGTTCTGCAAAGGAGCTGCTACATCAGTGGCTCTCAACCTTCCTAATGCTGTGATCCTTCAATTCAGTTTCCTCATGTTGTGGCGACCCACAAACAATGATTTTCTTTCATAACCTCAGTAAATATGCATTTTCCTATGGTCTTGGGCGCTATCTCAACAATGTTTATCACAAGAACACCTTCATTACTTCAACCATTTTGTTTCTCCTTAGAGACTTTGGTGATTCTCTGTCCATTACTCCTCACTGTTTATTTAAAGATTATCTTCATATCACATGACCATAAGTGCTCCGATCTTCTCCTGAACATTTCTCCTCAGGATGTGCCCTCTACACAGTCATCTTCTTTATCTTATCACTGATGATACAAGTTGTTGTCCAGACATTTCTCCATTTCTTCACCTGTTATGCATTCATCCCTTTTAATGTTCATCAATTTAATAAGTCATTTGTTTTGGGATACATACAACTTTTGTTCCACAAAATGATTAGAAGAGAAGGACACATAAAAAGAGGACTGAAGATGTCTTGAATGGAAGGAACTTACAAAGAGAAAAGCTTACCAACATTTAAAATTAAAAAAAAATAATAAAAAAATGCCTTATCATCTATGCTTGTCTGAATTTATTTTTAAATTTCTCACCTGATCCCATTGTCTACATGAGTAACCTCCCCATTTTGACCTATGAGCATTATGACCCTTGAACTCCGGAATCCATTATTTGCAATAGCTGAATGACGAGCTAGCCTTCTGCAAGCCAAGCATTTGGCTACCACCTCCCACAACTGATCACCTGTAAAGGAAATACATTATAGGGGGAAAGGTCACAATTTCTGTACATCAAACATTGGCAGATGCCAACATGGCACAAAGAAAACAAAAAACAGTATACTAACTCTTTTGGTGCCAGGTTTTCGTATTAGATGACCAAACCGGGAAATTATTTTTCTGCGCTCACCCATAAAATGGTGTTTGGCATGCTGAACTGTGTTTTCAATGGCTGTAACATCTGTAAAATGTCTGATTTCAGCAATTCCTTAATTAGCCATCTTTTTAAAACATCGCAGTTCTATAGGTCTAGCCCTATATGCCTAAAGGCGTCAAAAAGGGTCCTTTACTTACTTTTTATCGGTTCAGTTGAACAATTTCTTCATACTAGCCTGACTGCCGACATCACTTGCTAAGAATCAGTGTGTCTATCTCCCCTCACCAAGAATCAACATATGGAACATGGTATAACAACTTCTTCATCAACCTTTCGTCCCCCAATGGAGCACAGGGTCTCAAAGTTAGTTTCGATCTTTTACAGGACATTGCAGAATCAACAACAGCATTTGTGTTGTTGCTGTTGCGGTTTTTATAGGCAAATTTATATCTGCCACTGCTTTCTGGACGGTCGACTCTCGATGCCACTATCAAACCCAAAGCAAAGCAGTCAGCTGCCAAATGGCTTGCAGCTTTAATTGACCCTAGCATTACGAAGCATGTTCACATTTCCTTAGCCACAGATGGTAGGCCCTAAAACAACTCACAATTAAGTCATCCTATCCTATGACATTCATGCACTCACCCCGTCCCCACACCCTCCAATCATTTTCACCATATATTTTGTTTGGCCTGCTTTTACTTTTCTAGTCTGTCAGTTTAAGGGCAAAGGCATTCTATTTATATCGCCAACATGTTTTCTCAATGAGTCTCCTATTCAAAGCCAGCATCTTCTCCTCACCTGTTGATTCACTGGAATTTGTTTAGTTCTCTCCAGAGTTCTACCTTGGTGATTCTGTAATACCGTTCAATTCAGTGGATGCAGTAGTTTAAAAAAATTACTATTAAAAAAATATAAGGACTGAATAACTTTCAAAGAGACATGACAAAAGAGAAAGCCAGATTTCTGTTTTATGCTCAAACCAAATATAAATAAAAGGAGAATACATCACGTGATGGTTAATAGGAACATGGGAATGCCCCAAGTGCTGCGATGCCAATTCTTGACTCAACTCAACTTTTTAAAGTGAAAACTGGCAATCCATAAATGGGTGACCTCCAAACCTAAAATGTTAGAAGACCCTACTCTGGTGAGTTCTGTGAACATGTTGGTTTAAAAGGCTAAAACCAGTCTTTTAAAGAAACCAAAAAACAAAAAAAAACTTGGTTGACACTTTATAACAGACAATGCCAAGTGTTTACCAATTGCAGCCCATTTTGAAGATGAGAACGAATGTGTTGGTATAATCACAAGGTCACCATGCTTCTCCCATTTTGAAGGAACTTCATTTAACAGCTCTTCTGCTAATGAAAATAAAATGAAAACACTGTGAGCTCTTTGAAAATCTGACAAAAATGAGATGAATGCAGGTAACAGCCAAAACTCTTACACACACACACACATACAAAATACATACATATGCGCAATCCTTGTATCTCATACGCACATATGTATATGCATGTGCTCAGGGATTTTTTTTGTAGAAACAAAGGTGCCAAGTACTCACAGTAAGGTGTCTTTAAAAAGTACCAATACTTTCTCCAAAGTAATTATTACATACTGACAGATGCAGGCTCATGAACAACGAAAAACAAAATACTAACTCTTCTGGTGTCCTGTTTTCACAGCAGATTTTCAACAGAAGCATTTCTTCTCCTGATCTGCATAGTAGAAAACAAAGTTACCAGAGGAATTATTGTGTCGGATTCTCATTCAGTACTGAGGAAGGTTCGAAATGGACAAATGTGGCATCAGTATGCCAACACTGCAGCGAATCAGGTGGATAAACTGTCAAGGAACTGCAGGAGTGCGACGAAATTAATGAGCGGATTAGTGTATGCTTAAATGTGATAGCTGAGAGGAAACTGGTACTGGACCAGAGAGATATTCTGAAGACCATATATTAACGAATGTTGATTGTGAAGACATGGGATTAGACAAAACAACATGTGTAAGAATGTGTGAATGAAGAATTAAGGTAGATCCAGCAAGGAGGGATGCATGAGAGGAAAGTGATTCAGATAGTAAATTTACACCAGCGGCCACTGAGTGGTCAGCTGTTCGCTCTGATGGGGTAAATCGAGGAGGACCAATTTCATTTATGAAGAATGTGACAGTCACCCACATTTGCATCAAAACTGTTGAATCTGTTAGGAAACTGAACAAACTTTAAAGTGCTATTCTCAAATTTGGATAATCACTGCTCTTGTGGCTGCAAAACCATCAGATTCAAAATGTGTATTCATCCCCCTTTAAAAAAATATATACTTTTATAGGCATTAGAAATATATTAAATCCTCAATTGCATTTTTTTTTTTAAATTTACACCATCCCCTCTGTCATTCTGTAAAGGGAAATTAATGTGAGCCAAGCCTGTCTAAATTCAGGGGACTAAAAGAGTGTCATTCAATCTATTTCTGATTACAACAGTACATTAAAAACGAAACTAAAAACACATCAAGTACTCACAGATCCCATACAGTTTCAACAGTTGCCCTATTTCATCTCGAAGTCTGACAGCAGGATTATTTTGTTTGACTTTCACCTTTTTAGAAATAGGCAGACATGTTCTGGTAACCTCGAAATCTGGCCACTTATCAGCGATAAGTGATTTATTTTGTTCATTTACAATAATTGGTATTGCTACGTGATTTGAATCTGTCAGTTTCTTCAGTTTATGTGTAGCATCCCATACCTGTAAGGTCTCTAACTCGGACCTGAATAAGGACGGAAAAAAAATGCTTACAACCAAATATTTAATTATTAATTTTATTGCGTCATCCACCTCTGTGGATATACAGTTTAGTTTAATTATTTTTAAAGTTAATAACCTCTTTAACACCATTGTTGCATCAAATATTTGGCACTAGGCCTTATTATACTTTTACAGACCAAATACGAGTTTACTATTTATAGACCAAACAGATGTACATGTTTACAGACAAAATATGATTATATTTTAAAGACAAAATGCGACTATATTTTTACAGCCCAAACAGGTCTACATCTTTACAGACCAATTAAGATTATTTCTACAGAACAATATTACTAAATTTTTACAGACCAAACAGGCCTACATTCTACAGACCAAACAGGGCTACATTTTACAGACAAAATACAAATATATTTTTATAGACCAGACAGGCCTACATTTTTACAGACCAAACAGGCCTACATTTTTACAGACCAAACAGGCCTACATTTTTACATAACAAACAGGCCTACATTTTTACAGCCAAACAGGCCTAAATTTTTACAGACCAAACAGGTCTACATTTTTACAGACCAAACAGGTCTACATGTTTATATTGCAAACAGGCCTACAATTTTACAGACCAAACAGGTATATATTTTTCACACACCAAACAGACCTACATTTTTCCAGACCAAATATTAATATATTTTTACAGACCAAATACAACTATACTTTTACCAGATAAATAGGCCTAAAATTTTACAGACAAATAAGGCCTATTTTTTTGGATCAACAAGGTTCATATTTTTGCAGGACTAAAAAGACCTAGTTTCTCGGACCAAAAAAAGGCCTTTATTTTTACAGACCAAATAGGCCTACATTTTTACAGAACAAACAGGCTTATAATTTTAAAGACCAAATAGAACTATAATTTTACCGACCAAATAGGTCTACATTTTTACAGATATAAGAGGCCTACATTTTGTAACAAAACAGCAATCAATGAATGATGTGGTCATATACCCCCAGTTCCACCCATCATGTGTACTCATTGTAGACAGGGTCCTCCTATGAGCCCATGTCATATCATCATCATCATGTGCCTTGCTGATTGGCATAAACAATGATGCCTCACCATGATATGCGATCTTTAACAGCATGTATCAGTTCTGCTGATGACACCCTTCCATGCTATGTTCTGTCCAATTCTATCTCATCTATTACTGGAATAGAATTGGTTCTCTGTAATAAAGCAGCTTGCCTCGCTCTTTGAGCAATGTGGGTTCATTTCATGGACTCAGTTCGAGAGGACGTTTTGGAGATCCCTGAGGGGATCATCACTGAAGCTAGAGTTTGTGTAATGCTCTGGCAGGTGGCTTAGTCATTTGTAATAAAACCTAGTAGAATGAAGTTAAGTAGATCCTCTCGACTTTAATTTTCGTACAGATGTTGAATTTAAGCAATAAGCTAGGACTGCAAAAGCTTAAGTAAAGAAAGTAATCATACAAAGCTGCAGATGGAGAGGTTCCAACACCTCTTCCTGTCAAATGAAAAGTGAATGGACACTGTTTAGTGCAACAATGTCTAGCATCTAGTTTAAGAATGGAGGTGGAAGGTGGGTGGAGGTGGAAGCAGTCACTGCAGCCTTCCGCTAGCTTTAGAACCGGCTGTACACACATGTCCCAACAGTAACTGGCTCATAAAGTATGTTGAGAAAGTAGGAGACAAGTATGTTCTGGGCAGAGTGATAGGCATTGCTTCCAAGATCCTGCCAGTAAGTGATTCTCCAGGTCACACCATGGTTTGGGAAATGAACAGGCGGACAAATTGGCTGGTCCTGCACCATTTGGTGATGAAATGATACATGACAAGCTGATGTAAGGTTTTTTGGGAGCGAGTAAACAGTGCAGAGACTCAATAACACATCATCATGGTCTGAGGAGAATGATGCTGTAAGGCATGACAAGGGGCTCAATACTCAAGAGAAAGGCGAGATGGATATACAGTCAGGCTTCTACTAGCTCATAATCGGAATGTGAACTCTGCGCCTGCTGCTGAAGATAGGGACTGGGCGCTTGGCTTATGTTTATGAAAATGTTCCGAGAGCTGTGTGATGTCGATGTCAATTCAGATTCTTTAATTCACAGCAGAAAATCGTGACGCACTGTAAAGTTAGCTACTCCATCACAAATTAGGTTGTCAACTATCTCGCCTACACTAATTTAATGTGTTATCTCAAACTCTTACGTCTTAGCAAGTTCATTAAGTGTGAGTGATAAGTCTAAGTGAATATGTGTAAAAAGTCATGTAGGGAGGAGGCGTAAGTCAAGTGCCCTGAGTACCTCTCTTCGTTTAAGTTTAAATAGAAGATGTGTCGTATATTTGTTTTCGAGTGGTCGAAATCAGTTAAACGCATTCTTCAAAACACCAGCAAATCAAGACATACCTGATCTTCTGAGCGCTCTCCAGTGGCACGACTAAAACTGTTGATTCTTCGGCTGAGCCCATGCTGTGATCCCTATGCGTCCATCAGGTCCTCCCAAACATGAGATCATTTGTTTCGCTAACTTCCCGCGATAACTTTTTCTTCTCCTCACATCCATTCAAGTTTCTTTCGTTGGACTTCCTGGAACTTCTTTCATCCAATGATACAAACACAATTTAATAACAAGTAAAACTAATGGATTTGTATAAATAGTAATACAGTATAATGTATTTAACACATATAAACATTGATTTTATTGTAATATTTAATATTTTAAAATGTAGTGAATGAAAGATGAAGAACTAGTTTTCCTCGAAGCGGAAGTGTAGACAGGGTCATCACCACCGCCATTGGGCTCAAATATGGAGTCGTTCACAGAAGCCTTGAGGAAATGAAAAGATCAACAATAATGAATCTAGTTCGGAAAAAGACAGCAAAGGTTAAATTTTAGCCGTTTGCTGAGAAAGACACGGGATATTATTGTGCTATACACGACCTTCTGAAGCGGTGGGATCCGTAGAGCTGTGGAGAGAACAGGTATTTGAACCTCGAGGTTTAAAATAAGAAAACATTTGCCGGTATTGGGGGGAGGTAGGAAGAGTTGCCCCTTCTTATGTCGCCAACAATGGCACGCCCATTTGCTTCTAGTTTCTGCTTTATTATAGTTTCTCTTTCGTTTTGGTAATTATACTGCTGATAGATTATTTTTAATAGGTTTATTTTAACCCACTGAATGCTCATTTCAAATTAATTATGTGGTATATTTCAAATTAAATGCCAAAGAAATTGCCGTCACTTCGATAATTAATTATTTAAATATTTTGACCCACACTTTGTTGATTTAAACATCATGGGCCATTAGAGTTAATCAGTCCCACGTGAATCATTAGCTAAGGAAATTATTTGAGTATTATAGTACTTTTGTTGGCCATTGTTGTGAAACTATGATACAAAATCCTAGCAGGTTCATTGAGTTTGATCAACAGGTGATGATGGTGATAATAATGAAATGAATGAATACAGTGAACTAGCTTGTCCAACTGCTAAGGTGGGAATAATTTCAATAATAAAATTCAATAATTCAGAATGCAAGGCTTATCACCTTTCTTTCTGTGCATCTCACACAGCTGTTAGCTAAGCTAATTTTACCCCAATTAGTGCATATGTATGATTGAGTATTTAATATTATATTCATGAATATCTATCAGATCCGTCGTGTGTAGACATGGATTTTTATGATTTTTGTCAGAACTCAGTCATCATCAAGGGGGGATGTAAGCTTCCTTTTTTTTTTTCAATGGTAAGGGTTGCATACATATACATATCTTTACCCCTTTAATATTTTCATAACTGTTCTTTCTTGATGCCATCATTCCATTTTGCACCGCTGCCTCTTTTCTATGGCAGTTGGTACAAGGGCATTCTTATCAGATGACCAAACCATCTCGTTTATAACTCTGTTGCTCTTTAATTTAATGATTTGTTTTATAGTAATAATTTGTTTGACAGTGTATCTTAGCTTCTAATATCAGAATTTTATATTTATATTGTCTTATTTACTCTGGTAACTATTTAGCTATTCTAAGGCACTTCTTTTATTAATTTTGTATTTGTTAGCTTTAGTCCGTGTTTGACACTGGTGGCATAAAGGTTTGACACTGGTGGCATAAAGGTTTGACACTGGTGGCATAAAGGTTTGACACGGGTGACATAAAGGTTTGACACTGGTGGCATAAAGGTTTGACACTGGTGGAATAAAGGTTTGACACTAGTAACATAAAAGCATAAAGTTAAAATTACTCAGGAAATTATTATATTTGACTTGGTTGACAGAAGTATTCTATGTGGCTTGGTGAGCAACGGTATCTTTCTATATGTTTCTCGACGTCCAATGTTACAAGACAGTGGCATGGTTGTTGTAATTTATGTGATGCTGGTAAGGCCTCCATTTGAAGCCCCCGCATTAAAAAACAAACCATATAAACATACACATTAAGAAGATCATTAGTAACAGATTAAGCTTTGCGCGAGTTTATTGAAGACCTTAGATACCATATTAGATGATACAGCATATGTAAGCTTGCATGAATTTGGAATGAAGTCCGGATGTAGCCAGAAAGGATGTGTGAGAGGAAGGGTGACATGTGTACAACCAGTGTGCTGCAGCTGTCAGCATCTGCTCATCTGTAGGCATTTCCTGCAGGAGACGGAGCATCTGTGGGTATGCCTGACATGCTATGATGTCCATTCTTTTAACCTTGTGGGGGGGGGGGGGGAACCAAGGAGTGCATTACACTTTGAGTCATAGCTAATTGAACCGTCTTTCAGTACCAAAAGAATTTACCAGTAACCAGAAGACTTATGCTCCAATAGTTGTGTATCCTTGGTAGAACCAGCAATGGCTGGGTTTTTTTTTTCAGGAAAAGGGGGGGGGGGGTGGTTGTAATTTCACTAGGCAATTTTACGTTTATTTTGCCATCGTTGCTTCTGATGAGCAATCAGCTGTCAGCACCACTGCTTCTCGAAACCAGTGTAAAGCTGTTTGTTGCCAACACACCTGCAGCTGGTTGTGTAATTATTTTGGAACCAAGGAATGCATCACGCTTTGATTTATTAACTAATTCAACTGTTTTCTGGTATCGATAGAGTTAACCTGTAATCAGCAAACCTGTGCTCCATAGTGGGGTAAACGACAGAAGAAAAAATAATATGAGCTTTCTATAATATGTTCCTTCGTTCATTGGCCAGTTTGTTTACCTTCTTTCTTGTATTTGCAGATTTCCTGACAGCATGGGGAAGCTGTTGTCGAAGATATTTGGCAACAAAGAGATGCGGATACTGATGCTGGGTCTAGATGCCGCAGGGAAAACAAGTATCCTTAACCTTGTTCTGTGGCTGGTGTTCTAGCAGATTGTATTTTTGCCAGGTTACAAATTGGGCACACAAGCCCGTCTTACATTCGGTTCTTCCAAGCACTCATCTTTCATACCACAGTTGTATATTATCAGTAATGCATGTTATGTTTGTGTAAAAATATACATATTTAAATAATGCATACAAGCGTATACAATCATATACACTCGTATATGCCCCATACAGACACATGAACAAGCACACTCATACATATACATACATATGTGCTTATACATCATACATACACCCTCATACAAATATATACATGCATACAGACATGTACAAGCACCCACACTCATGAGCACACATACATGCACTCGAACATATATATACATATATACATGCATATACACATACGTGCATCCACAAACAAATATTCACACAAACACCCATACACCCATATATCCACACACATACACCCATGCATACAAGGGCATTAACACACACCCACACCTGAATACATGTACATACTTACACTGACATTTATACAAACCTCAAACACCAATACATATGTACACTCATACATACACGAATGCCTATGTACACTCAAGTGCCGTGTACAGTCACCTATACAAACACTCTTATATACCCGTACAAAATACTCAAGAACCTAGTCATACACAATCACCCAAAGATACAAAAAACACCCATATATATACACAAAGATTTAATTGTACACAAACATCCATATAGCCACAGACACCCTCACATACTCATAAAACCCTATATATATACACACAGATATCATAGCCACCCATAAAACACCCATGCATGCATACAGTCACCCCTACATACACACAGATTATTCGTACACAGTCACCCATACATGCATAGAATAGACTGCGAGCAATATGTGATGTAAACACAGCACAACAGGATGATGATGATGACTACACAGAGCAAGGAAAGGGCATTGAAAAAGTTGAAATAACATCACCAAGAATAACTTTAGGGGAATAAAGACCAGCTTGCAGAAGGCATTAGAAAGGGCACACAAAAGTACCCTTGCAACTCTTGATTAACATCCGCCCCAAATCACATGCATGCTAACTTTTGTGGCTGAAAAGTACAAGATCATTTTATTATGTCCTGGGTGCACCAATCACAATTCTGAAGGTGCTATGGTCAGCATTACTCCGTCGCCCTTATTTCCCTGGATTTTGTCTGGTACTTAATGCTGAATGAAACCTTGGAGGCAAAGTCATTATTGAAATAAGTGTGCCTTGATATGAACTCATGGCCTTGGGGCCCAGCGCTTCTAACCACTGCATCACAGTGGCTTCCTGAGCAAGATAATTTAATTAACTCAGTGTTGTGTATCCATACAGGTGCCAACCCTTCTTATAATGTTTTATCCGTACTAAATTGCAGTGTCACTGTTTCTTGCTTTCCTTACGGTTACAAATTAGGCACACAGTCCTGTCTTACATTTGGTGCTTCTGTCTTTACTTTCCTGGATTTTACCTGGTACTCATGCTGGGTCAACCTAGGAGATAATGACCCATGGCCTTCAGGCCCAATGCTTCTAACCACTACATCACAGTGGCAAAGTTGCAGTGTCACTGTTTTTTGCTTTCCTTATGGGCCCCATTGACACCACAGCACGAGGCCATGAATTGATGACATTTCTCCTAGAAGTATGATTATTGGAAGATCATCGAGGGACCTCAGGAGATAGCAAATGATTAGAAGTGTATTGTTTTTACACTTCACATTAGCACGACACACATTCACACTGTAGCCGGCACACTTGTATGTTGCAGTGTTTACTTTGGGAAGCTCTGTCATAAGGTAATAAAAGACAGAGGTAGATACTAAGATAATAATCATTACAAAATTATTTTTTTTCAGCGGTCATTCATTTGACCATCAACCATATGTTCATATTTCTTAACCTAATTCAGCTTTATTATACAAAATGAAATTAGGTCAATCCGTTACAACAATACCGACAGTGGGATTCAACGTAGAAACCGTCACATACAAAAGTGTTAAATTCAATGTTTGGGTAAGTGATAATTGTATTCTAAGGTAGCCTTGGTAATAAACCAGAATTGCCACTTCTGTCCACAACATTTTATCGATGGCCAAAACGTCTCATTTGCTGCTGTTTAATGAACTTTGTGGCTGGTTTTATGCCTAGTCTTTTGTTTTGTTTAGTTTGTATTAGCTTGTATTACTCCAGCAGCTCTCCTAAGACATCTCTGTTGTGTATTTGTGCTCATAAGTTTTAGTAAGGGTCTTTGTAGCTCGTATTACTCCAGCAGCTCTCCTAAGACATCTCTGTTGTGTATTTGTGCTCATAAGTTTTAGTAAGGGTCTTTGTAGCTCGTGTTACTCCGGCAGCTCTCCTAAGACATCTCTGTTGTGTATTTGTGCTCATAAGTTTTAGTAAGGGTCTTTGTAGCTCGTGTTACTCCGGCAGCTCTCCTAAGACATCTCTGTTGTGTATTTGTGCTCATAAGTTTTAGTAGGGTCTTTGTAGCTCGTGTTACTCCGGCAGCTCTCCTAAGACATCTCTGTTGTGTATTTGTGCTCATAAGTTTTAGTAAGGGTCTTTGTAGCTCGTGTTACTCCGGCAGCTCTCCTAAGACATCTCTGTTGTGTATTTGTGCTCATAAGTTTTAGTAAGGGTCTTTGTAGCTCGTGTTACTCCGGCAGCTCTCCTAAGACATCTCTGTTGTGTATTTGTGCTCATAAGTTTTAGTAAGGGTCTTTGTAGCTCGTGTTACTCCGGCAGCTCTCCTAAGACATCTCTGTTGTGTATTTGTGCTCATAAGTTTTAGTAAGGGTCTTTGTAGCTCGTGTTACTCCGGCAGCTCTCCTAAGACATCTCTGTTGTGTATTTGTGCTCATAAGTTTTAGTAAGGGTCTTTGTAGCTCGTGTTACTCCGGCAGCTCTCCTAAGACATCTCTGTTGTGTATTTGTGCTCATAAGTTTTAGTAAGGGTCTTTGTAGCTCGTGTTACTCCGGCAGCTCTCCTAAGACATCTCTGTTGTGTATTTGTGCTCATAAGTTTTAGTAAGGGTCTTTGTAGCTCGTATTACTCCGGCAGCTCTCCTAAGACATCTCTGTTGTGTATTTGTGCTCATAAGTTTTAGTAAGGGTCTTTGTAGCTCGTGTTACTCCGGCAGCTCTTCTAAGACATCTCACCTCAGTTGTTCTGATTTTGTGCTCGTAAGTTTTAGCTAGGGTCCGTGAGTCTCATGTTACTCCGGCAGCTCTCATAAGACATCTCATCTCTGTTGTTCTGATTTTGTGCTCGTAAGTTTTAGCTAGGGTCCGTGAGTCTCATGTTACTCCGGCAGCTCTCATAAGACATCTCATCTCTGTTGTTGTGATTTTGTGCTCGTCAGCTTTAGTAAGGGTCCATGTATCCCGTGTTACTTCATGAGATCTTCTAAGACATCTCGTCTCTGTTGCTGTGATTTCGTGCTCGTAAGTTTTAGCAAGGGTCTGTGTTTCTTGTGTTATATTGGCAGCTCTCCTAAGACATCTCATCTCTGTTGTTGTGAATTTGTGCTCGTAAGTTTTAGCAAGGGTCTGTATTTCTCGAGTTATTTTGGCAGCTCTCCTAAGACGTCTCGTCAAACTTTCTGGACAGAATAACTATGATATGCTCATGATCTGAGTCTTACTAGGCGTTTCAATCCACTCTTGTTAATCAACCATAAATATATGGTAAGTTCCTTGCTCCTTAAATAAAGATGAATCGATTTCACGGCACTTGGTTTCATCTCATTCAGGACTGTCTCTTTCCATGTGGCAACTACTTGTCCACATAGAACCTTATGCACACATCACCTGCATTCTCAAACCAAAAAATGGCATCCAAATTAAAGCCCTTAACTTTGAAATGCAGGCTGATTGCTTAACCACATACTTTAGGACACCCCCACATCTTCCTGTTAGAAACGGAAAAAAAAAAAAAAAAAACTAGAAAGATTGGGTAGATAGAAGGTGTTACGTGTGAATGAATAGCCTCAAAAAGTGTGCTTAGAAAAGCTTTTATGAATGCTTCACAGACAGGACCCTAATTCAGTTTTCCAGTTTCCCTCAATGGGTTCTGGAGTCCCAATGTGGGGGAAACACGAATAGACCCTCTGCCACCCCAACAAGCACGTCGTAAGAGTCGACTAATTGGGGGCTTTTTTTTTTTAAATCAGAGTGCATCTGCCTGAGAGGCAAGGAACCAAAAATGTGCATGCACTTAACTTGGACCTGTTAACGGATGTGCGCGCAGCATTCAGTTTCTGGAACAAGACCAGAGGTGGGCAAACAACCAGAACTTTTCGTCAGATTTTACAGCCCATGAAAGAGAAGAAAAAGAAAGTTTTCCAGTTGCTTGTTCATTGTCCAGGCTTCTGTTTCATATAATGTGGCTAAGTGTACAGATTATATTACACTGTTATTTTTTTCCAGGATGTGGGAGGACAAGACAAAATTCGACCTTTGTGGAGGCATTACTTCACAGGTACTCAGGGACTCATATTTGTTGTCGATTGTGCAGATCGAGATCGTATCGACGAAGCTCGGCAGGAGCTGCATCGCATTATCAACGATCGGGAAATGAGAGATGCCATTATTCTTGTGTTTGCCAACAAACAAGACCTTCCAGATGGTAACATAGTTTTCTGTGTATATGTTGGTTGTTACAGTTGACTCAAAACTGTTGACGGTCATGAGTAGTGAGCATGCCAGCATAGTGGGTAATGAACAGGCAGATAGATTGGCTGGATCTGTACCACTGGGTGGTGAATTGATACATGACAAGGAAGAATGTATAGAAAAATCAATATACGATGTGCAAAAGCAAATCCGGTTATGGTACAATTAACACAGCTTCTTGCGCATAGAAAAGTACCTCTGTCAACCAAAGCAAAACTCACTAGAATGGTATTTTGGCCGACAGTGTGCTACCAGTGCCAAACATGGACCCTTACTACAACTAATGAGGTGAAGATCGAAACAACCGAGATGAGATGTTTTAGGAGAGTTGCCGGTGTGACAGGAAGAGAGAAAATTAGAAGATTAGGACTGAAAACACTTGTACAGTTGTTCATTAAAGAACAACAAATGAGAGTGTTTAGTCACCTGAAAAAATGCCCTGTACCAACTACCACAGAGAGCCACGCTGAAGAAATATAACGAACACAGAGCAAGGGAAGACCACGCAAGAGATAGAGCGACATTATCAGGAGCAACCTAACAGAAATGAGCACTAACTTGTACAATGCATCGGAAAAAGCGCACAAATGATTCTCACACATTCCCCCCAAAACCTCGCTGAAGTAAATGGTGGAAGAGAAGAAGAAGAAGAAAACTTCTAAACAGTGCAGGGTCTCTGGCAGACCTTTGGAAATGGGGACCGCTGGAATCAGCGAACTGGGAACCTGTGCTCTACATATCTTCTTTATCAGTTTTCTTTAGCTGGTGGGCCCAGAAAAGTCTATGTGGGTCGCCAGAAATATTTGTCTAACGGGCTGTGGTGGGTAGCTTTTCTCTTCCAGAATTGTGGTCTGTGGGATCAACATCTGAAATATGTTGCTTTGACTGGAAATAGTGCTTTTGTAACCTATTATTTTAAAATATAGAAATTGCTATCTGTATGTGTTCCCTACCTCTCAGGTTTCTGGTTTGGCCACTCGTTTTCCTTCTTTGGGCTGGAAGTCCCTCCCCAACCCCTTCCCTTCCAAAAAAAATTGTCCCAGAACCCATATGGGGGATGTAAATTGTTAAACAGTCTCTTAATTTTTATTACCTTTTTCTTCTTCTTCGGTGAGGGGGGGGGGGGGGGAGCTCTGATTTTATTTTGAAGCAGTAGGACTGTTCTCTTTCCCAAATATGTCCATGAACCCACTTGGGAGATGTAAATTCTTGTACAGTTCTGATATCTGATAATTTTACTTTCTTTCTTCTTCCTTGTTTTATCATTGTAAATTTATTCTAAAATGAATATGTTGATTTCTTTCTCAGCGATGAAACCACATGAAGTTCAAGAGAAACTGGGATTAACACGCATCCGAGACCGCAACTGGTATGTACAGCCATCTTGTGCCACCACGGGTGACGGCCTCTTTGAAGGATTAACGTGGCTGACGTCCAACCACAAGTCCTGAAGTTAGTCTCCTTAGTGCATCCGTAGATACATATTATCAATTCTAGTACAGACATCCGAATGTAGTTGTTCTCTTCTAGCTTCTTGTATGTACATTGAACTTTGAAGCCATTGGACAGATTTTTGATTATGTAATGCTATATTCATTTCTACATCGCACACTTTGGCTTTTTTCTCTTCCCACAATTTATTGAAGACATTTCACCTGAATGTATATTAAATATAGCGTTTGTGTTTGCAAGATGCGAGAGTGAGCGACGATGTTAGTCCTGCTTGTACAGCCTTCTCCTCCAACGGTGTGTATGTAGGTAACTTGCTTGCCAGATGGCATGATCTTCTATGTGTTGTATTGCCTGGGCATATAGGAGCTGCAGCCAGAGGATCTAGTGTTTAGTCTTAACTTGCATTGCTGAAGCTGGTACCGTCAACTTCAATACCCCCACCTATGGTGGGACTGTACAGAAATGTTAACCATTGGCCGTGTATTGAAATTGTAGTTTGTTCTTGTTTCATTTTTTTTTTCCCCTTTCACAACATGTCAATAAATATTGATGTGTCTTTGCTGCCTGCTGAACTTCAGCAAGATTTTCCATTGACTTATCACCAGAGAGGCAAACTTCAATTACTTTATACACATTATGTATATACATCACTGTGTGAATGTTGTGCTGTGTGTGAACTTGAATTTTTAGTGTGCGAGTGTGTTTGTATAGAATTATTGCTCCGCCTTCTCCCTCTATTTTTAATGCTCCTCCACTAAAAATATTTTTACTAATTTAAATGGCGTTAATTTTGTTTAAAGTGCATGCTGAATTCTTTGTATACATTACGCCATAGACATAGAGGGAAGACAAACTTATAGAGCACATTAGAAATAACATATGGAAGATCCTGACATAATCTAGTAATACTTGGATGAGCTAACTGGAGAAGGAGAAGAAGACTTACAAACTCTCTAAGTATAGTGAAGTCCCCATAAGGAGAACTCACTGGAGACCCAAGAAATGGTTCTTCTTTTCAGAAGTTCCTCTTGTCTAGATAAGAATTCAAAATTGTCTGGCATGAATAGATTGTTCTTCACAACAAATTAGTCACAACAGAGCTTGCCTTAAGCAGTCTGGACTTTGCAGTGTAGGGGAACTGCACTTTCAGAAAATATAAGTTATCACAAAAATGGATGTACACACAAAACTCAAGTTCTGAACAGTGGAGGAATCGACTGTGAGCTTTATGTGGTATTTAAACAGAACAGGATGGGAATGTTAAAATTCAGAGCTTGGTGTGGCATATTGTATTCTAACAGGGGATGTCTCGGGGTGCACATTGCCTTTCAGTGCAGATTGTCTGGATGCATGTTCTGCTGGTCTGGGAAAGTTTTCTTGTGGTCTGCCCATGCATGTGGTGGCTGCACTTGAAACCAAACTGTCTTGAGTTTAACCAGGAAGACTTATGTGGTAATCAAGATGCTACTGGCACCATTAGTATCAGAATTCTTCGCTGGCTGCTGAAAAATGGGAATTAAGCGCTTATTGGAATGCCTCTAGTGCTGTGATGTCTGTTCTTTAATCAAATCAAATCAGACTTATGTGGTGAAGTCAGACGAAAGCTGCAAATATTGCAGCTTTGCTGTAAACAGTCACTCGGACAAATGCTGAAGAAGATATGTATGTTATTGCAGCATTTTATCTCTCAGAAACAACGCTTTAGCCAGGCGTATCAGATGTGTTTTTTTTTTTTAACCTTTGTGTAGCATTTTATTTAATAAATGCTATCTACATTTACTTTTGTTTCTATCTTATCTGGTCTGCAAAATATTTCTCCAACAATGTTTCAGCGACGTATATTAAATTTTCAGTCCTCTAAGCAACAATATAACTAGAATGTCTTTGCATTAGAACTCACAGGGGCATAGGAATAAAGGAAGGCCAAAAGCACATGGAGAAGGGAGCTAGAGAATGAAGTTAGAAAGTGGGGGAAAGCTCCATGCAGTGGCGAAGGATAGAGCGGCTTGGCATGAGTTGGTTGAGGGCCTATGCTCCAGTAAGGGCTAGAAAGGCAAAATAAGATAGAAGCAACAGCAAATGTCACATTAGCTAAAAATTGTGATTGTGTGACAGTGTGTAGCAATTGTGATTGTGTAACAATGTGTTTGATAAATAAAATGCTAAATGCAGTGCACTGTTTTGCTTGTGTGAAATGTTCGATGAGTGCTGATCTAGTTGATGCCTTATAGATCTTTTCTTTTGCAGGTGGTCTGTTGATACAGACGTGTGTTTGCTTTGTTTTGAGACAATAATATTGTTATAAGTATCTTAGATATGTGAATGCCAGATGCTTATTTGCTGGATCGGGTCCATGTTTCTTTTGATGGTGCTGCCATATCTGAACATGTTATGTGTATGGTTTGTCAGGAACTTATCGCCCCCAAACAAACTAAAACTCAGTTTTGTTGGTAATCTGAAGTGTTAAGCTTATATAACTATTTGGATTATCATACTTCAAATTTATTGGATGAGTGGTTGTTTCAGGTCATTCGTTGATTTATTTTAAAAATTCAGAGTCAGCTGCAGGGATTTGGGAGTGGATCACCTTAGGCTGATTTTAACAACTGCACGAGTGGCACACCATTCAGAAAGCAGTGGCAAACTACTGAATGGTTAGAAAAAACAGATAGCACCCGATAGATGAGATTGGTTCGCAAAGTCGTGTAAAGGACATGCAACAAACTTGACTGTTGTAACAAGACTGCCATTCTGCGATGTTTAGTTTGAAAATGGCTTTATCATGTAATCGCCGTTCTAACTTCATAGTAAACCCTATAGTTACTCTGTTCCTGTGACAGCGAAAACCGCACAAAATGTTTATCACTGTCCCTTGTGGGAAAATGGACACAGATTAGATTCGCAAAGCCAATGCTGGTCTACTAGGAAACAAACAGGCAGATAGACTGGCTGGTTCTGCACCACTTGGTGAATTGCATGATGCGCTAGATGTTGTAAGGATCCTTTGGGAGCAAGTGAATAGTGCAGAAGCACAAATAGATCATCACTAAATGAGGAGAATAGTTCTGTGAGGAGCAACCACGTGATCTGGGCAGCGCTCAAGGGAATGACAAGACAGATATAGAGTCAGTCCTTTATGATGCCGTCAGAATTGAAACTCTTAGCTGCTGCTGAAGATGTGGGCGAAGGGCTTATGGGAAGGTCCTGAGTGCTGTTATGTCCAATCTCAGTTCAGCATTCGGCAAAGCTGAGTTTAATTGTATTAATGATTAGGCAGAAGGTAGTAGTGTTTGTGCTAGATTATAGGGTCATCACTGCTGCAACTTATTGATGTAGAAACAAGTGAATGCCGTTTCGTAATAGCAGGTGAGAATAGTGTGATATGTTCTCATAAGCAGATTATAGTATAGCAGAGAGGGTTCATTGTTCATTTCAAAATTATCTTCATAGGATATGACCATAAGTGCTCCAGTCTCCTCCTTAGTATGTTTTTAGGCTAACTACTCCAGTGCTCTTATGGCTAATGTTGCGACGGGTGGCTCCCGTGTGGTTTTCCTGTCTCGCAATCCAGTTGTACACCCAGTGTGCAGTCTGTTCAGTGAAAAAATCATTTTCCACGAAACTGAAAACCTCACAGCAGCAGAGATGGTATGAATGCATATTCCTTCCTTGTCCGGACCAGGTTTCTTTGTAACCTTGAAAGGGGGGGGGTCGCAGTGTAGATAACCTTACAGCTGCATGTGACTTACCAGGATTTATACAGGTAGGATTCTTATCTGATTCTGCTGAAACAGTGGTGGTGGGGGTTCTTCTTAGCATTCGCCAGCTGTAAACTCTGGATGAAAGTTTTGGTCATTCACCTACATCTGGACTTAGGTCTTGTACACATCCATTTTACATATCTAGCTTGTTTGTACGCTGACTGTTGGTTCCTTGACTGTCAGACAGCACATATAAAGGCCTGACTCTTCACATCCCTAGTGACATTTTCTAATCTTAGGCTACCTCTTTTTTTTAGTACTGAAATGCTTGTTTTGGTTTTTGGTTTTCATTCGTAGTATGTCACACACATTTTGAGAAGGTGTAAATGGAAAATATACACACATGGAAAGGTCTTCAAAACATTCTAAAATATTTTATTTTACAAATACTCTAAAATATGTTTTCTTGAAACATTATAAACTATTTCAGAAACACTAAAATGTTTAACTTTGAAATAATGCTAAATCGTTAATCTCAGACACATTCAAAAATGTTTAGTCTTAAAATTTCTTTCATCTATGTTCTGTTAAAACCATGTTTAATCATGGACTGTTCCAGACTTTGTAAATGTAGTCTTAAAGTTGTTTACTATTCACAAATTTATTTCTTGGAAACATTCTGATTTGTAATTTCAGAAGTATGTTTCATCTTTTGTAAAGCATTAAAGAAAACTGTTTATCCTTTCAAAAGATATTCTAAAATGTATTTTAACGACACATTCTTGACTATGGTTTATTGTTTCCAAAACATTATGAAATGGATATTTTAGAAAAATAAACATTCTAAAATATCCTTTTGTGAAATATTATAAAATACAGTTTTCTTTGTTTAAAAAAGATTGAAAAATGTTAAGTTTTTAAGAACGTTCAAAATATTTTTTTCCCTGCTTGGCTGTGTTAGTAGACTTGCACCCCAAAAAGCACCGTTGCTCAGACATAATGGAAGCAGGACCAGAAGTTTAACATGGAAGCGATGGATGGAATATCCAAGGCTGTAACGAGCAGCTGTGCAGCACATACCAGGGTTCAATCCCAACATCTCTTCAAAATCTGACACTGAAATAAATATAGGACTAGAAATGAAGTGGATTTTCTATTAGAAATTGCCAACATTTTGAGGGGAGATGAAAAATATGCTTGCCTGCTGTACGGCAGGTCTGGGATTCAAACCTGCACCAAACCAGATTCTTTCGACATTAGGTGCCAGGTAAAGCCAGCCTAAAATGGGTTGTGACACGGGAAGTAAAGGCGACCGGCAAGTTTACCACATTACTAATCAAGGGCTAATTTGTCTGTAAAATATAGTTCTAGAATTTTATGCTGAATACATTTGAGGCATGAAAAAAGTTCTTTACATCTGGATAAAGATTTGATGTCACAGCACTCAGGACAAACCCATATGTGCTCTGTCTCGCTTTTCAGTTCCATTTTCCATTCTTACATTAAGGGGAGATAATAGGCATGGATTTAAAAAAAAACAAAAAATAGTCCTCCCACGCCTACAAACTTGTTAGCACTTTTGATTTGACTTGAGACTTGAAAGTATGTTTTTTTTCTTTTATGGGTAGTCTGAATGTTGCAATTTTTCCAGTATCAAAATAAACATGACCATAAAGAACAGAAAATTTTTTGTGGTTAATCTGGTGCTTTGTAAGTTTTTGCTGTTTGTTAAATCATTTTCTGTTTTATTCAAGATTAAAATCTTCCATTAAACTGCATTTATAGAATGTCCTGCAGCTTAAAATGTCCTGTGTTTTTATGTTGCATTAATGAACTAAGTTAACTCCATGATAACCTTCTCAGCCGAACTAGGTCACGTTCCATTGATACATTTTTTTAGACTTTGCTGACCAGAGGGTTACGGCTTTGTTGTCCTTTCTGGCTTGTCTTGCATTTACGTTTTTCTTCAGAGAAAGAGAATGCCTGTGACACAGGTTGCAGTACTCTCTAGGGGGTTGTGTGTTAGACTCGGTTTGTGATTGTTTTTGTAGTAAAAAAAAGCACTGGTGTGTTAAATATACAATACGGGATATCAAGAGCATTGCCGAACACCCCCCCCCCTAGCAGTGTGCGAAGGTCGGGTGACTGGAGGTCGACCAATCAGAAGTGAGCTAGTGTGTAACATGGGGAGATTATCCTGGAACTGACCTTGAACTATAATTAGTTTGCTCCATTGTAGAGAAAACAAGAACAGACCCACTGCCTACCCATCAAGAACTGTGGACTTTGTTCAAAGTCGGAGTACATCTGCCCTAGCAACAAGGAATAGCCAACTGCACACAAATAAGCCAGTAAAACAGATTTACACGCCAAACTCAGGCCCCTGGCGCAAAGTGTGAAGGGATGAACAGCCAGGACTTTTAGCCGAAGCATGCAGCCAGTGGACAAAGAAGAAGAAAGGGGTTCGGGAAGGTGTATTTCAAAGGTTGAACATAAAATTGGGTGAAGAAGTGAGAAAGATGTCTAGATAACCACTTGTAACAACAGTTTTAAGGCAGAATTTTGCACCAAATTGGTCACATCTTAAGAAGAAATGAGTAGAGAAGAGAACATTGGAAATCAAGGGATTGAGGCATCCAAAGTAAACAGAAAACGGATGTTGAAGAGAGAGGTCAACTGTGCTGAACTGGATTTTATCCACTGTATTGGAGAGATTGCAACGGATAGAATGGAATGGAGGAATAGACTGCATGCTCTGTATGGGATATCATTGCTCAGTGAAATAACGAAAGGGCATTTTGTTGATGAGTTGGTATGTATTTGTGTACTGTCTCAACATTAAAGGTTGGCTACAGTGAATCCACTGCCATCTTTGGGAATACTACTTGTTGAGGCCTCAGTCTCTTCCATGGTGTGAATCTCCTACCACTGTCCTCCCTGTGTGGGTTCTAGGGTCCATTGTGGGTAAAACAAGAATATACCCACTGCCTCCCAACAAGCATGTCATAGGAGTCGACTTCCTTCGAAGATGGAGTGCATGTGCAGCAAGGAACAACAATCTGCACACAAGTAGGCCAGTAAAATGGATGTGCATGCTAAACTCTAGCCTGGTACAAAATCAAAGTCCAAATGGATAAACCACCAGGACTTTCCGCTGAAGCTTACAACCAGACAACTGTCCTAAAGAGCATTTTTTTTTTTTTTAGTTTTGAACTTCTGCACAAATTATGAAAATATTAAATGCTTTCACAAACTTTTATGCCTAATTGCTGAGGACACAAATTTTCAACAACATGATACAAATATTAGCATATGGATAGATGTAAGTAAAAAAGTAAAGTTCCCTTTTCACGCCTTTCGGCGAATCGGGCATATGGGCAGAGCGTCCCATATTTTTACAGACCATCAACACTCTGTGGGTAATGTGGTCAGCATTACGCCGGCTGTCTTTACTTTCCCAGGACAGCCAATCCTGGTACCCATTTTAGGCTGGGTCGACCTGCGACGTCCCATACCATGAGAAAAATCCACGCAGCCTGCAGCGGGTTTCGATCGCGGTATGCTGGCTTACGAGTCGGGCTCGCAACGCCTTAGCCACGGACGCCGCCTGGATAGATGTACAGGACATTAAAATGGGAGTTGTCAAATGTTATGTGTTCTTAATCTGCCATTGAAAGCGTGGTTGTCACTTTGTGTTGTGGTTTACATGTCTACACCTTTTGGTCCCCCACATGATTTTAACAAACCCGTAATTATTAATTAGTCACGATATGTTTGTTTTGTGGCAATGGGTCTACTTTGTGTGTGTTCTGGAACCCACATGTGGGAAGGGGGGGGGGGGGGATGATGATCCATACTTATGTATATTCAGCACTACTATTGGGGTCTGAAATATGGACAATGTGCAAATGTTTGTAATGTCAGATTGAAGCCTGGATGTGTGGATATACAGAAGATAAGGTTGTAATGTCAGATTGAAGCCTGGATGTGTGGATATACAGAAGATAAGGTTGTAATTTCAAGACAACACAAAGTTAGGTGAGAAAGTCTTTAACTTTACATCTATATGTATGTCTTCTTCTGCTCCTTCTTCTTGGTGTTTACTGGTTGTAAGCTCTGACAGAAAGTGTTGGTTGCTTGTCTTCTTCTGGACTTTGGTCTGTTTCACAACTTGAATAGAGTTCATCACGGCACTTACGTCATTCCCATAAGTGCTCCAACCCCATCTTCAGCAGCGAGTGCAGAGTTCCATTACTAATGATGCCAGTAGCATTGCTAGTTATACATCTGTCTTACCTTTCATCTGAGTGTCGAGTATTGACCAGATTCCCGCGTCCCTTCTTGCTGCATCACTCTCATCATGTGGTGATCCATTTGCTCTCCGAATTCTACACTTTTCCCACAAGGTTCCAACTACGTCTGCCTTGTCATGCATCAGTATTTAATAAATTGTGCAGAGCCAACCCAGTCTGTCCGACTGTTCATTTCCCAACACACTGGCATAACTCGAAGAAAAGATCTAGACAATGCTCCTCAACTGTGACCTCGGCAGTGAAGCATGCTTGTTTTCACCTTCCTCAACGTACTTTCTGAGTCAGTTACAATCACAACTGTACAATTGTAACTGATTGTAACTGTTTCGCAGCTTGAATTTTACAAGCACATTCAGTTTACAGATCTAGTTCATCTGTATGCATATAGTTGGATCAGATCCTCGCCTGTCAGACAAATTGACTCTGGCTTGTTTGGAAACACTGCTAATTAGTTGCTCTCAGCAACCTGCTTGTTAGGGACACAGTGGGTCAGTTCCCCCCCCCCCCCTTTTCCAACATAGATCCAGGAACCCAAATGCACAATGTAATGTACACTTGTATGTATTTAAATTGAAAAGACTCATGTTTTGTGCTTCATTAAATGTTTATATAACTGTAGTAACGCACCTAATGTGGTGCAGTGAAATACACCCGACATCAAAGTGTTCATTGTAATGTTCATATCCCCATTGTTCAGATTCACTGTGGAAAAACTTTGTATTTCCCCTAGTGAATAGTTTAGAAAGACTGCCTGCAAGGTCTTTTTCTAAGCCATCTGCCAGGAACATTGAATCCTGGTATGTTGAGGATTGTGAAAAATATTCACTAGGCACACATCCACAGCTATAATCACATACACACTCACATACATAGGGACTCTGACTTGTATGTACTACACATAATGTGGATAAATTTAAGTTATGGTACATTTGGGCACTGGATTAAATCAATCATATAATCAACATGTAAATCAATAAATCACTTAATCAATCTGATACCTACAGAACCAATAATACTTGTATCAACCAATTGTCCAGTCAAGTTCATTCCAATCAGGCTCACCGCTACAAAGAAAACAATGTAGGCAATGACCAGCCCTGCCCTTCCCCCACATTACTACATATGTTATATGCAGGGGGGAAAAAAAGGTTGGGGTGGGGGTCTATGCCCTCCTTACCACTTACACATTTATAGGCCACACTCAAAAAGGGGTGGGGGGGGGGGGGCCTCAGATCCTTGAGCGACCCACTCTACCAAATATTTTAAGAAGGGGAAATGTTGTGTCCCATTTACGATGTGCAGAAATAATCTTTTTAAAGATTTGTTTCTGTTTTTTTATATAATTTCAAGTATATTATATCTGCTTGCCATTTGCCTTATTATTAGTGAAGTGAATGACATATGAAAATAATATGCTCGAAATAATATGAAAAATGTAAACAAATATTTTGAAAGAAATGTTCTTTCATGATCCTGCAGTTTATTTCACTTAATTATTTTCATGTGATTTCTGAATTAATCCTTGTGTATATTTAATTATGTTTACACCCTTTACCATCTAATCTTGAGGTCTATCTCAGTATTCCCACACTATTGTCCAGTTAATCTCATGATTTTCACGCTGTTTCCCAAATAATATGCACATGCATTTCAATATTTCCTCTAAATCCCAATTAATTTAGATATATATTTTAGTGCTTCCAAACCATCTCCCAGAATGCGCAGCCGACAGTCCCATCTATTTCCCACGTTGTTGAACTCTTTACGTCCTGAATGAGGTCACACTGTTTAGTGGACTTTCTAAAGTTGATTCCCTTGCAGGAAGTGTCTCTGATGCATCTAGAAGCACAGTCAATGATGTGTCTGGCGTTGGTTAGTGTCTTGTAGTTCTGCCCAGTGTAGCAAGCATCAGAGATCTTCTGTAGATATATGCTCCATGGAACTGTCAAATTAGGAAAACAAAATATTAGATTAACGAGGAAAAAAAAAAAGACAAAACCAAACAAAGAAAGATAATTGCGTCATATTTAAACATCAGTGTAATGAGTTGAGGTAAAGGTTACACTGATTTGATTAAAATATTGAATAACAGAGAAGATTAGATAGTAACTAATGAATAAAAAAAAAAAAATAAAAAATGACTGACGCTCAACACTCAGTGGAAGGATGAGACAGATATACAATTAGACGGTTACTGGTACAATCCGAATTGGAACTCTTCGCTTGCTGCCGAAGATGGGGACTGAGCACTTATGGGAGTGTCCTGAGTGCTGTGATGTGGATTCTTAATTCATTATTCTTTTTAAAAAAAATGTATGCACAAGTAGCGCAGTACCGTGAATGAATAATTTAATCAAGAATTGACATCACTGCACACTAGACATTACCACACATGCTGCGTCCCCTTCTTTAGTAACCAACAAGGAGTTGACACGCCAATAATACCAGTCATTCACATAATACATACAGGGAGAACCCTTGAGGCTGTAGGAATATTGTATTTAAACTAACAGACAATGTATTGATTAGCACTCATAGAAAGAGTTAGAAAGAAGGACACACTAGACATCATAAAAATCGAAAGCTATGGTTTCACACAGCGAGGCGCACACGCTATTTGCAGGTGCCAGCTGGACTCCTGGCATAGTAACTTTTCACTGCTTTTGATTTGTATGTTGTCTAGTGTGTCCTTCTATGTTTCTACTATTTCTATGAGTGCCGATCAATACATTGTCTGTTTGTTTCGATATTTATAATAGTACCATTTTCAACCTGATTCTGAGTCTGTGTCTGATTCCCCCTCAGTGTTGTATATCTACCAGACCTTCTCTACACCCCGCTTTGAATGAGTCTTTCATTGAATGGATTCCCTGTCTGTTCTTTTGCACTGTCCAGTTGATCCCATAGAGCCTTCACCACATCCGCTTTATCATATAGTAGCTCACCGCCTGGAGGAGCGGCAGCAGCTAATCTATCAGTCTGCTCGTTACCTCACGAATGAGGAGAAAGTTACTGACATAAACTTTTAAAAAGAACAATTGAAATATCTTGTCCAGCTTAAAAGACATTGAAAACCATACTGGTGGGAAAGATTGAGGGCAAGAGGTGGACAATGATACAAGTGGATTGTAGCCAATCTTCATTGTGGAGACGGCATCTGATTGACTGACTGCACCGGGCATATGTTGCCAGATTAATATTTTCATAGGTTGCTCAGCACTCATTGGGCGATTTGGCTAACCTCACGCCGGTTGCCTTTACCTCCCATGACATTGCTTGGTACCTATTTTAAGCTGGGTTTATCTGACATCCAAGGTTACATTTGAAAACACATAAGCTCTAATACAGATCAGGGCTGCTTATTCCCCCTGTTGCGGCAGCTTTCCGCTAGTGCAATTAATGACCCGAAGCAATAACTTTGATATCTGAAAGTTAAAGTCTGGAGGATTGACGTCATTGCCCTGGGTTTGATCTCATATGGTTCGGTCTCTCCCCGCAGAACGACTAGTCGCCTGCTGAGAGCTCCATAGATCCGGCGATTATCTCCAGGGATCTCTCTAAAATTTACACCCGTGAACTGAAAGACACAGCTATGAAACAAACCCACGACCTACAGAGGGCAACGCAAACGGCTCGACCTCTTCGCCACAGAGATCCCCTCATTTCACTTTGATATCATCAGTGCATTTGTTTTTGACAAAGATTAGCGATTTTCTTTTCCGTTTTTAAATTTTATCTTATCATTGGTTATCAGAGAGAAAATCTTTTTTGCAGCTGCAGAGGAATGAGGGAATGCCAAAACACTAAGCATAAATTTTGATACTAATGGGAAGCGATTTTCATCCCCACATTTTTCTTCTCAAATTGTGAACCAACACTTTGCTGACGCTTTTTAAGCATAGTTGTTGATTTTACCTTGTTAGTTGCCCGTCTCTCTAGCGTAGTTGGCTAAACACCGGATTGCGCGGTGAGCGGGTAACGAACTCCTTATGGTCCGGGTCCACTCCCGGGGGTGAGCAGAAAAGCCACATTTCTCCCAGAATTACGGTATTTAAAATGGAATCAAGGCCGAAAGTTTGCGATATCCATAATACCGAGCCTAAGGGTTAACAACTCATGGCTTCTGGGTACTAAAACAAACAAACAACCTTGTTAGATGCTTATCAATAACTACCTCGACTCTCTCGTGGCATGCAATTTTTCGTTATTTTGAAGCCTCACCCTGGCTTTCGCCGGGGGTCGCAGCTTGACGCTTAAACGCGGTTTCTGGGACCTCTCCACAGGTGATCCTCACCCGCATGGTGGCACTTAGTGTCACCGGGTGTTTATCGCTTTGTGTTATGTCCTGGTGGGGTAAAATTTAGTTACTGTTAGTTGCCTGCCTTCTTTGTTTTATTTGTTTATAATGTTCTTCTTTAACAAGGCTGTGCCACTCTACGAACATTGGCATTATTGACGTCGGTCTTCGTTCAGTGACATTTACTGAATCTAGCCTCTCAAGTAAAACGTAGCTTAAACAAAGAATTCACAGGACAGAAATCACTGTATTAGACAAATAAACGACTTTGAGTAAACTCATAATCACATTTTTTACGGTTCAACAGAATGCCAAAATTTAGAATTTTGGTGCAGAATTTCTAAAACGTACACAAACATCGAGCCCGGTACCAAAAGAATTGTTTTGCTACGCTCTCGTCCTTTTTTTGGGATGACATTTTTTCGTTATTTGAAGCACTACTCTGGCTCTTGCCAGGGGCCGCAATATAGCCTGGCAATAAATATGACCTAAAGGCTGAAAGCGGTTTCTGGGACGTCTCCACGGTGATCCTCATCCATATGGTGGCACATTGTGTCATCGGGTGTTTATGGCTTGTGTGATGTCCTGGTGGGTTAGAAAGTCAGTCAGTCAGTCAATAGTTTTGCTCGACAAAGGGTCAAATAATACAAAATGTGTACAAAAGTACAACTTCAACAGCCCTAATGCGGATTCCAACCCTTCGGGCGGACACACCAGCGTGGATTGGATAGTCGAATTCATTTACTTATTTACAGATTTACCAACAGTGGAAAGCGGCGAGGACATTTTGACGAGAACAAATCTGATGACATAGTTTGGAGTAAGGTTTGATCGCAGCCTATTCTTCAAATAACATGTTGACCATGTCATAACGAAAACACACAAAGGCCTGTCAGCTACGAGGGTCCTGGCTGCCGCTAACACTGAGCAGAGACTGCTTCTGCTTCTGTTCCAGGGACTTGTACTTTCTCCCATCGAAGATGATCTTCCCATCCTCACTATCAGCCATACTCAGATTGAAAGACCTGAGAAGGTGCAAAATGAAGCAATTATCCAGGGGTGCACTGGAGACGCCTCTTGTGGAGCAATAAGGTACCTTTGCACCAAATTCACTTCAAAGAAAAAAAGGGCAATAGGCTTAAAAGGGGCAAATCATGGCCGGGTAGTGCAGAGGATGACATCATACAGGTGTGCAGCCTTACAGACATTCATCCAGGTGAGGAATGGATACCAGCGTCTAAAGCGCCCAGTCTCACATTCTCCTGTGTCGTGACGCTCGATAGGAGTTGTCGGGAGCAGAATCCAGCTGCTGTCAATGTCTAGATATGCGCGCTTATCAGTGACAAATCAGATGAGACAGATGTGGGGATCTTCACAGACGGGTCCGTTATACGAGTACATAAGAGTGCATGGGCATTTACAGCTTGCTTTTCAGGCAGAACAGTTCAAAAAGCAATCGGTGCCTTCTCTATGACCACCAGTTGCATGACGATGGAGGGTGATACGGGCTTTCATGTGGCTAGAATCACAGGACTATTCCCGCGTGTATGTGCTGAGTGACTCTTTGAGCATGATCCGGCGGGTCGAGGCAGCCTACTTACACAGACAGTGATTTGAGTCATTGCAAACCTCTCCTGTGTGTGTAGTTAGCATCGTATTCGTCCCAGGGCATGCAGGCGTTGTAGATAATGAAAGAACTGAAGGACTGGCAGGTGCTGCATTAATTGAAGATGGCCAGCCCATGGATCACGCAGACATTGTCATTACCCTTAGAGAGATAGGACGTTCTGAGGATTTTGGAAGCAACATGTCAAAATCACTGCTAAGAATACGCGAATTGGGAGTAAAATTCGGAACAGCCAAACACGAGAAGCACACCGGACGCACACGAAGTCTTGTTAACCAACATAAGACTGGCACTATTAACCGCACGACGCTGATGAATATGCTGAGAAAGGAATCTGAGCACCTATGGATGTGTCAGGAGTGCTGTGAAGATAATCTAACTCATAACTCACTTATTGTTTACCAGGCACCCGACGTCAGAGGGGGGGGGGGGAACAGAGAGGGGGAAAAAGAGGGAATTAAAGAATTAAACTAAGAAAGAAGAATAAGGACGAGGTGGAAAAAGAGGAAAATAAAGCGGCGTAGGATAATACATTGCTTTCTCGAAAATAAGACCTACCTCACAAAAGACCTAGTATGAAATTCCGGGAGGCTTCTTTTATAAGCCCTACCCTCAAAATTAAGCCTAAGATCGTCAGCTAGAATGAGCGATAATGAACAGACGTGGTTCAAAATTCAAGGTAATGTCACTCGTGTGAACCTCAAATTTGGAGAGTTGTAACGATGTTTCAGGGGAAAAAAAATGGCGTGATTTTAATTAAATAAATGTTAAATTTTGCCCATGTAATTAAAAAAAAAAAAAAAACACTCAAAAACAAGGCATTCACAACCGAAAATAAGCCCTAAAAGTCGGTTATTTTTCTGGGGAACACAGTTCTACTACTACTTCCACCACCACTACTAATGCTACTTTTACAGGACGTTGCAGAACCAACCCTAGCAGCCCCTGGCTTGTGAGGTTTCTCTAGGCAAATTTACACCTAGTTGTTAGCCATTGCACTGAACGGTCGGCCCCCTGATACCACTGTCAAAACCAACGCAAGGCGAATGGCCCACTGCTGGGATCTAAACCGGCACCCCGGCATTACTAAGCGTTCTCCTCGACTTAGCCACAGGGACGACACTAATACTAATAAAAATAACAATAATAACAACATCACAAACACACTTACGATTATTCTGGACCGGCCGGCTACTTGTAGTTTCTAACACACTCTCAGGACTAGTCGTCGATGCTCCCTCACCCATAAGTACAGATGACGTCGCCATTGTTGTTGCGAACATTGTAGCAGACGTTGACATTGAAGTCATTCTTGTCTCAGTAAATGTATGTGATGGCAATATAACTGAGAACGAGGCTACTTTTGTGTCGTTAGCTGCTGCAGTTCCTGCAGATGCGGACGACATGTTTCCCATAAAATGTGCTGTAGTTGTTGCGGTATCCTCCTGAAAAGGTGTACTCGTTGTCACCACTATTGGTGCTGTTGTGAAAACACCGAAACTTTTCCGTTGCTACAGGCGTCAGCGACCAATACGGGTGGCTTAGAAGCGACAATGTTGTCAAGCTATTAGTAACGATAACTGATACAATAGTAGAATACTTCGGCAGTATTGCAGAGATTGTGAGTATTTCAACTGTATCAGACTGGGTCGTTGGAAAAGTATCTGAGATCTGCACTTTGGAGTCATCTGTCGAGGAACCACTTGATGGGTTTATTTCTGCTGGAATTGTAGTTATTATTTTCGGTCCTGTTTCTGTCAGTGATGAAGACAATGTATTCGTTGTAGCAACGTCTTCCGGAGCAGTGTCGGTAGAAGATGGGTTAATTATGCCTGAAATAGTTATTATTGATGATGTTCTCATTGGAACTGATGTGGATATAGTGCTGGTTGTTGCAACGTCTTGGTAATCTGTGTATGTACTGAATGAGTGCATGATGCTAGCTGTATCACTGTTTATTGTCGATGAAGCTATTATCACCCTTGATGCAGATAAGGGATTAGTGGTGGCCACGTCTTTAGGGTCTGCTTCGATTCTTGATGAACTGATAGGGTTAGATGTAGCACTAGTTTTTGTCGATCCCATTGTTCTAGTTGTCATAGAGGCGTACAGTGAAGTTGTGCTGGTATCACTTGCGTAAATGGAATCTGTAGTAGTGGGGCTACTCCACAGACTTTGATCAGTAGCTGTAGAGTACGCAAATTTCGTGGAACTAATGTTTTCAGTTGTAGCACTAACCAATGGCAGCGAGCTGACTGTTACAGGGGACGCAATCACACTCATGAGATTGATGTCCGTTGTTGAAGCCACTCTAGACTCGCTTATGGATAATGTCCCCTTTGTAGTACCTTCGAGTGTGTCAATATTTGATGACGTTTCTGTTGTAAGAGCTGAACTGGCACTGTTATGTGTAAGAGAAGCAAGTGTTGATGGTTGTATGACTGTTGTTGTTGTTGTTGTTGTTATCGTTGATGATTGTTGTATTTGTAGTGTTGATGATGATGCGCTTGATTCAGTTTCGTTCACGTAAACAATCTGATGGAAAGAATCAACCGCATTTCTTAGATAGTACTTCATGAAACTATTTTCATGTATTTAGAACACTGTCGGTATCACTGAAATAGATAGAAGTGCAACGCGACAGTTAGACAAACTAATAGAAAATTGACTAACTATTAGACAGACCGGCAAGCAGGCAGACAGATATATAAATACGCAGACAGACCAACAAATATATAGATAGATAAATGGGCAGACCAAGATAGAGACAGATTGATAGATAGACGGACATATACACAGACAAACTGACAGGCGGGTAGGTAGGTTGGTGGTTAGGTAGACAGACAGGCAGACGGACGGAAATACAGACAGACAGACAGACAGACAGACAGACAGACAGACAGACAGACAGACAGACAGACAGACAGACAGACAGACAGACAGACAGACAGACAGACAGACAGACAGAGACAGACAGACAGACAGACAGACAGACAGACAGACAGACAGACAGACAGACAGACAGACAGACAGACAGACAGACAGACAGACAGACAGACAGACAGACAGACAGACAGACAGACAGACAGACAGACAGACAGACAGACAGACAGACAGACAGACAGACAGACAGACAGACAGACAGACAGACAGACAGACAGACAGACAGACAGACAGACAGACAGACAGACAGACAGACAGACAGACAGACAGACAGACAGACAGACAGACAGACAGACAGACAGACAGACAGACAGACAGACAGACAGACAGACAGACAGACAGACAGACAGACAGACAGACAGACAGATAGATAGATAGATAGATAGATAGATAGATAGATAGATAGGATAGATAGATAGATAGATAGATAGATAGATAGATAGATAGATAGATAGATAGATAGATAGATAGATAGATAGATAGATAGATATAGATAGATAGATAGATAGATAGATAGATAGATAGATAGATAGATAGATAGATAGATAGATAGATATAGATAGATAGATAGATAGATAGATAGATAGATAGATAGATAGATAGATAGATAGATAGATAGATAGATAGATAGATAGATAGATAGATAGATAGATAGATAGATAGATAGATAGATAGATAGATAGATAGATAGATAGATAGATAGATAGATAGATAGATAGATAGATAGATAGATAGATAGATAGATAGATAGATAGATAGATAGATAGATAGATAGATAGATAGATAGATAGATAGATAGATAGATAGATTAGATAGATAGATAGATAGATAGATAGATAGATAGATAGATAGATAGATAGATAGATATAGATAGATAGATAGATAGATAGATAGATAGATAGATAGATAGATAGATAGATAGATAGATAGATAGATAGATAGATAGATAGATAGATAGATAGATAGATAGATAGATAGATAGATAGATAGATAGATAGATAGATAGATAGATAGATAGATATGTTTCGATACACTATCGTCCAGAGAGAAAAAAAGCAAATGTACCAAGATGAAAAAAATCACGTTTCCAGGATAAGTAATTACCGATAAATTATCGAAAATACAACTGCACGAATTTGTAAACGCACTGCAGTATCTGATGATAGCTTTCACAACGTTACAGTTTTACATAAGTGGCGTAAGCATTCAGGTAGCGTTCTTTTCGCTAACTTCGAGACTTCAAGCTAGTGGCGAATTTGTAATACACAGTAAACAGTAATAATAAATAGTAGAATAATGTTTTTTTTATTTTACAATGAAACGTGTATGCAGCGATTATAGCAGTTATACGCACGACTTGCAGCTGATCGAAATGCCCCCCCCCCCCCCCCGGATCTTCAGCACATCTGGCTGGCTGACTGACCCCCCCCCCCCCCTACCAGGACATAACACAAGCGACAAACACCCGATGACACAATGTGCCACCGTGTGGGTGAGTATCACCGTGGAGAGGTCCCAGAAACCGCGTTCAGCCTTTAGGCCATATTTAGGCCAGGCTATATTGCGGCTTCTGGCAAGAGCCAGAGTAGGGCTTCAAATAACGAAAACTTGCATCCTAAAAAGGACGGGAATTTATAAGGACATCTCACCTTGCAGGTCTTGTTGGTCGAAGCATCACAAATACAGTACCATGTCACACAGAGAGAAGGCGTAGAGATCCTGTAGGATTTAAACGCAGTTGTTAAGAAGTGATGTCTACATTACTGCCTAAATATTCTACTATTGTATCAATTATCACCAATTTGGCTCGGATATGGGCCGAGGTTACACGCAGGCGCAGAAAATATAAAATGGTTCCTAATGTTTCTGACTGCTTAGATACACAATTATCTCCCTTCTGACAAAACAGCAAACGGCCAAATGTATTTCACCATTACAATCAATGCTAAACATCTGCAATACGTAGGACAGTAGAACCGGAAAAAACTGCCTGTGAAACCCACTGTCTCCGCAAGGTCACAGAACCAGAAAGAACAGGGTTACGAATGCTAGCATAAGGGAAAAAGTTGAAACAAGACCGTGTCTGGTTTATACTGACACATAAAGAATGAAATGGTTCCGTCATTTATTGGAAATGTAGCCAGACCAAGCTGCGTATGAAACATTTTTTAGCAAAATCTCTGGGAGGAAGCCGATAGGAAGACCAAATAAGAGGTGGTTATTGGTGTATCTGAAATATGTAAAATGTAAAAAGATAAACAAATCCACCACCTAGCCATCCGAGAAGCGCAAGACAGATACAGACAAATCAAGACACTAGCCTACAACTAGGTATCAGTGAGACGACAAAACTACGACACTAGACTACAACCTGGTATCAGTGAGACGACAAAAAAAAAAAAAAAAAAAAAGACACTTTGCTACAAACTGGTATTAGCAAGAGACAAAAGAAGAGGAAGCGGAAGATTGTTCTTCCAATACACAGTTTCATCGTCATCTCTCAATTTCCACTTCTGCCGTTGTGGGGAGGTACAGTTTGCGATCCAATGCTTGATGGGCAGCATTAGCGTTTGTCATTCCATGTCGATGTAGAAGCTCTTTAATGTCATCAATCCATTTTCTCTTAGGGTGGCCTCATGAATTCACTTCTGATACTTTCATGTGTAGCGCCTACGTTGGTAGTTGTTCTGGCTGCATTCTTACTAAATGACCAAACCATTCTGATCTTCTGTTTCTCAGTGAATTAGCTGCATTGTGTTGTTCCTACAGTCTGTCTGATAATATCATTTTCTAACTTTGTCTCGGATGGTTAAGTTGGTGGCTTTACCCAGGCATCTTATTTCAATGGTATTAAATTTATGTAGGTTAGTCTTTGAAAATGTCCAAGTCTGACACTTGGAGCACAGTGTTGGTATGAATATGCCGTTTATAATCTGTTTCTTACCACTAATACTTATGTTGTCTTAGCAATGTGTCAGTTGGTATATAAGTTCACTAGCTCGTTAGTATCTTGTTTCTATTTCCCGATCTAATCTCCCGTCCTCCGAGAATATATTTCCTAGATATTAGTTATTAGAATAAAAAAAAAAAAAAAAAAAAAAACAACAACAGAAGAATGTGGCAATATATTGAGCACTTGATGAGTAGAACAGGACAAAGAATCGCCAGACATCTAAATAACAAACAAATGAGCTGAGTAAACTAGGACGTACAAGAGAAACCCTATGAAGAAGGTTAATCAGAGAGACCAAAGATGCCGCACTGTGACGAGCTGGTCTGGACAGCTGTTTCTGCCCCTTTAAGTATTGCGGTGTATTAGTAATACTATTATCAAATTTGTAAACATTTCTTTTTTGCTTTTTATTAGCCTTAATAATACTTAAGTAATTAAAAAGTTAAAAGTTAAAAGGCGAAGAGTAGGCAAGGTGTAACTGAAGAGTAACTTCCCCCTTGGTAGGACTCTCCTCTTTCATTTTCATACCAGGCACAATTGAGGGAGACAAGATTTAGCTCTCCTCAAACTGACGCAGTTCAGGCTAAAGTTCTGTAGTCTTGTTGCCTGTGTTTGAATTCCCTACCAGGGGTGAGTGAATTAAATTAGTTAATTTGATCTATTGCTTCTATTTCCCTGAATTAATTTTATCTGCTGAACTTTGAAATTTGATGCCCACATGGCTTAGAAATCCTTGTGAATTCCCTTATCCTTACTAACCACGTTTATGATCTAGTATGTACATGTATGCAAACATATGATCTATTTGATGATGGAATTAATGTTTTTTTTTTAAATACTAAAACGTGCATTGGTATTTTTAATTATTTTAATTATATTATTTAGGTAAGGATTATGTCCTCGTGTAAAATCTCGGCCAGATCCAGTTTCCAGCATAGTGAGACAATTAAAAAAGGAATGATGTGTATATTCATTATACCCAATCCCTACTAAGTTTTCAATTATATCTAAATGATTGGATAAGATAATGCGGAATGGAGGCAAACGATGCGAGCTTGATGTGACAAATAATGGCACAACATGATGATGATGGTGGCAGCGGTAATGGTAGTGATGATTATGATAATGGTAGTGATGATGACGGTGGTGGTGCTGCTGATGATGACGAATGTTCTTCCTTTTGTCTGCTTACCCAAACGATCCAGTAAAGGTAAAATCACTGCATGAACCTGGGGACTTTGTGCTAAAATCTCCATTCCACTGTCCATTTGTTGTGATAAAAGTATAGTTGTCCAGCTGTGTCACAGACTGGTCCGAGAACTGAGAAAGTCAAGAGAACATTTCAGAACTTCCGATTTTAGGATTACAGGAAAAAAAAAAAAAATAAAAAGAACACTGTTCAACACAATATTCTTACCAACGCTATACGATCAATGTCAAACAGGGACACTGTCTTCAGAAGACAGAAGAAAAGTAGTCACGACAGAAATGAAATGTTTACGTACTATGCTTGGTGTAACGAGGAAAGATCGACTTTGGAATGAGGATATCAGGAGAAGAATCGGCACAGAACAAGTGCTGAATTTAATAAGTAGACAACCAATCGATTGATTTGGCCTTGCAACAAGATTGGAATCGACAGAGCAATACAGAAAGCAATTTTATACAGATACAGAGGTAGACTGACCTCAGAAACATTAGAGACACAGAAAAGCACTTTATACAAAGCGAATGGAAGGGTCAGTTCCAGAGATTTCTTCCTGCCCTGATGCAGAGAGGCATTTCAGGAGGAGAGAAAAGAAGAAGAAGAGGAAGAAGAAGAAGAAGAAGAAGAAGAAGAAGAAGAAGAAGAAGAAGAAGAAGAAGAAGAAGAAGAAGAAGAAGAAGAAGAAGAAGAAGAAGAAGAAGAAGAAGAAGAAGAAGAAGAAGAAGAAGAAGAAGAAGAAGAAGAAGAAGAAGAAGAAGAAGAAGAAGAAGAAGGAGAAGAAGAAGGAGAAAAAGAAAAAGAAAAAGAAGAAGAAAGACACTAAACCTGAAAATTATAAAGGAAACAACACTTTCACACACCCGTAATCGTACTGGATATTTAGTTCTAGACAAATCGTATAATTTTTTTATATACATATATTTCTCGTGGGTACCAGGTCGACCCAGCCTTAAGTGGGTGTCAGGTGCAATCCTGGGAAGTTAAGACGCCCCCCCCCCCCCGGATGCTGACCATATCACCTATCAAGTACCGATTTGTGTGTAAAATATAGGTCTAGCTCTAAATACCTAATGCGCATGAATACATGGAAAAGGGTCCTTAACTTTATATATATATATATATATATATATCAGGTTGTCAGGTCTACTGGGTATGGCAACAAGTTGCTTTTCAGCTTTTCTAGGAGATGATAGTCTTGTAAGGCATGTTCGGGAGTCTTTATAGCGTGAAGACACTGGATGAGAGCTATCTGGCTCATAACTAGTTAGTTAGTTTATCGACCCATCATCCGAATCGCACATCTAACAAATCCATAATCCCATCTTCAGTATCTCCCTCAGCGCGTAGCGACTGATGACACCAGTTATGTGTTGGTTTCTTATTCTTCTTTAGCTTTCCGCACAGCGCTGTTGTCTTATAGATGCACACTTTTGGGGACGGAACCTGAATATCCTTCTAGATTGTACACTTCTGGTTATTAATTAAACCTATACCTCTGGCCTTCCCCGAAGGTGTCTCCACCTTGCCGTGGTGGGGGAGCTTGTGCTTCTCAACGACCCTGAGAGCGTAGCTACCAGCAGGGCCTCCTAAGCCGGGAAGGTCAAAGGGTAGAGAACAGATAAAGAGAGACACCCTGGTCCTCCAGGTTAGGGGTTGAAGCGTGGGGCCGACACCCCCCACCTCCGTAAAACTTTATAAAGTCACGAAACAATCTAAGCCTCGATTTAGGATGGTTTTAAACGGACAACGAACCTGTAACTTTAAAATACTTTTGAGATTTAGAACATGGAAAATGAATGGTCCTAGACCACGAGGCAGACCAAGAAGACGATGGATGGATAATATCCAGAAAGACCTGATGTCACCAACTGGAAAGAGGAGGCCAACCAGAGAGATGAATGGAGGCAGGTGATATCTGCAGCAATGAGCCTCAAGGGCTCGGAATGCTGAAGAAGAAGAAGAAGAAGAAGAAGAAGAAGAAGAAGAAGAAGAAGAAGAAGAAGAAGAAGAAGAAGAAGAAGAAGAAGAAGAAGAAGAAGACATCTGTCTCAGCAGGTAATCGTCCTAACGTAAACCACTCTGCCACTAGAGCCCCAACTTACTTCAACCGACTTGAGTGGAACTGGGGATGTAAGGATCGTCTTCCAACCACAGTTGGGTCTGTACTCGGAGAAGTTGTAGCAAGTCTTTCCTGTCGCTTGGCTGTTGTAGGCTCCCGACTTTGGTTGGTACATGTTTGAGAGCGATACCACGGCGGGCAGCAGGCACATGATGATAGTGTATTTTATCTCCACCCGGGGTTGTGTGTGTCTGGAGAAGATACCAAGGAATAACTTAGGGATTAACTGCATTAGCAAAAGCAGCAGCAGTAGTAGAAATAGTAGTAGTTGTACTAGTAGTAATAATGTCTCACCAGGGTTACTCCAATATGTCGAAACCAACACTTTTTAAGAAAATGTCTATGTGTAGTTAAACTCCCCTCACAACAATTTTTGGGAAATGGACTTAATGGACCTGAGCGCTCACCCACCCCCCAGATTCCAGCGTCTATAATGGTGGTAGTGTGAGTAGCGGTAGCAGTGTAGTAGTAGCATTCAACCTATAAATAATCAGGCCAGCAACCAATTAAAGGTCCAACCGACAAAACAACAAAGTAAATATAAATGCCACCAATAAAAAAAAACCCCACTATTACAACCAGTCAATCCACATTAAAAATCAACCACTGAGCCAACTACCAGCCTACCAATGATTTTATTTAGGGAAAGAAGAGGGGTGGGGGCAGGGTTTAAAACAGCAACGTTCTCATCAACCAACAAATTAGACAACAACCAGTGATTTTAATTAACAAAACAACCAACCAACTCTCCAATAAACGATTAACCAATCAATCAATACATAGATCAGTCAACCAACCAATCAGCTTAGCTAAATAAATCAACAAACCAATCTGCTTAACTTAATAAATCAACAAACCAATCAGAAAGACTGTATTAAACAATCAACTTAGCTAAATAAAACAATCTACCAATCTGCCTAACTAAATAAATCAACAAACCAATCAGAAAGACTATATAAATCACTAATCCAATCCGACAGATTTTTTAAATCAACTAACCAATCATCCAGACTACACAAAATAACCAACCAATCAGCCAGACTATAAAAATAAACCAACCAATCATCCAGACTACACAAAATAACCAACCAATCAGCCAGACTATAAAAATAAACCAACCAATCATTCAGACTATACAAAATAACCAACCAATCATCCAGACTACACAAAATAACTAACCAATCAGCCAGACTATACAAAATAACCAACTCAATCATTCAGACTATACAATCAATCATCCAGACTACATAAAATAATAAGCCAATCATCTAGACTATACAAAATAACCAACCAATCATCCAGACTACACAAAATAACTAACCAATCAGCCAGACTATACAAAATAACCAACTAATCATTCAGACTATATAAAATAACCAATCAATCATCCAGACTACATAAAATAATAAGCCAATCATCTAGACTATATAAAATAATCAACCAATCATCCAGACTACATAAAATAATAAGCCAATCATCTAGACTATATAAAATAATCAACCAATCATCCAGACTACATAGAATAATAAGCCAATCATCTAGACAATATAAAATAACCAACCAATCAGAAAAAAAAATTACTCAACCAACCAATCAGCAACATGATCCTGTTTAACTAACTAACTAACATGCACCAACTGGTACGATCCTTACCCATAATCCATCTTATGTTTTTGTGCTCACACAGCCCTCCAGGTAAATTATTAGTTTCACATCAACCAAGAAGGCAAATCATCGATGTAATTTTTTTTTTTTTTTTTACAACGTCTCTGTTGAATGTATTCTCTGAACCATCCTTTTAGCAAAGAAATTATAATTGTCTTGCTTGACTATGAATTTGGCAGTGCTTGTATAATTTATCTCAAAAGAGCACGGAATCTGCCAATTGAAAAGTGGTATTTTTTTTTAACCTGGTACAACAATTCCAGCGCGTTTGGCTTAAGGGGTCACTACACCAAAAAAGTATACTTTAGATGTAAAAAAAAATTATGATTGTCATGGCAATAGCCGCCATCTTGGGGGAAAAAACTACCAGTGCTTGGAATCCTAAAATTTCACAAACAAAAATACATATTAAACAATACGTGATTGATTCGTAACCTTTGATCCTATTTAGAGGTACAGGTATAGGTTATTTACTTTAAGCATGTTTTTTAAATATTTTTCGTAGAATTTTAAAATGTAGGTTTATTGAAAAAGTCAAAACAATCTAGCATCATAAGACAATAATCAAATTGAAAAAAAAAAACTTTCTCAAATCTACTTTTAAATAGACCAGTCCCTATAATATTGTTCAAGAAATACCCATACAAAATTTCATGTTTGTAGTCTTTATATTAGTTTACATTTTAAGATACATAACAAACAGAAATATAGAGATGTGAGAAAACTGACTTTTAAACCTTTTTTTTTTTTAATCTTAAAAAAGTGCATGGGTTTGTCTTTAATATTAACTTTGTAATGCTAAAGTGTTTACAAATGACATACATTTTGTGTGTAATCTATTCTACGAATGCAAAACTTTTCAAAAACGAACACACTGAAAAAGTGATATTTTTGTCATAAATTGGAAAAAAAAATGCCGTGATGACCCTTAAGTGTAATTCCGACATACC